GTACGCGGATCGTGCGAGGTGTCCTCTTCTTCTCCCGACTCGATCATTTGCAACGGGACGAGCTTCGATCGTCGAGTCGCATCGAGTCGCGAAACGAACAGAATAAACTAAACGGCGACGTGACAGCCCGGCATAAATCAAGAGTTCACGAAAATTACAGCGGCATCTTCCGAAGAATAAATCTCCCGCATAATTTCTACATAAGATTTCCGACTGCTCGCGAGAGTCTTTCCGCCGCAAGGAGAAGCGGGGAGGCATTCATCAAAACCGCGGGCAAATTTTTCACGAGCCCGCGTCTCGCGTATCCGTTTTATTTCTTCTCTCTCTCTCTCTCTCTCTTTCTTTTTTCTGTTTTCCTTTCTATATACGTATCGATGATTCGCCGCTGTTTTTAGCATCTCCGACTTGCTAATGATTCATTAAAGCTGAGAGGTGATTTTTCACTTGCTCGCTCATTAATATTCTTCCTGTGCCGCGAATCTCAAGTCGTCGGTCGTCGTACGACGCGCGAGAATTGTCCGATCTCTCGAAATCTTTTCCACACTCCTCCTTATGGCCGCACATAATGAGTGCGCGTACGAAAGACAAATTGAGCCGTCGCAGGAGCCGCACGGCTAATTCGCGAGTCGGTTTGGCAAAATAAAAAAATCCCAATGAATCCTTTCCCCCCGCAAAGCGGAAAGAGAGAGGTGATTCCCCTCCGGCCGCGTTACGCTAATTTTATGCGTATCGGGTGTCGCCCGCCGATCAAATGGGATCTCGCGTATCAATGTCCCGTAAATCAGTATGGCGATAGCTTCAACGAGCGATCATTCCGCGCACTTTTCTCGCTTCCTCGGGTTCTCACGTCGGTGATTCGCGGAGATTCATCAATATATATCAAAGCGTGTCGGTACAGTGACGCGATAAAGAGCAGTGATAAATAGGCGATGCTCGAACTATGAACTTTATCACTACGTGTGACACAAGATAAATTAATAACAAAATAAATCAAACGATGAGGGGAGGGAGAGGAATGTTCAGCGGGAATTTCAAATCGTTTGTCATCGAGCACGTGCGACATTTATACATATATATGTATATATATTGCAAAATTTATATTAATTGTTGACATTTGCATTAATTCGAGTTAAATTTAATTGTGAAATTCGTATTAATTTATATCAAATTATTGCCTCGCTGTGTGATACAAATCGTGCCTGTGTGAAAATCGCCGTTCGTGTCATCAACCTCGTTTCGCCCCGTTGTGCGACGATGAGAAAGAGAGAGGATACCTACCGAATGTATCCCTCGAGACTCGCATATTGGGGAATATCGAGGACACTCATCACCGGAAAGATCGGTGCGCAATTTCGCGCGCTGCCGCAGCCGAGGATGAGGAGGGCCGATTGAAAATTGTTGCGCTCATAAAAAGCGTGCGTAACGCTCCGCGTGTCGCGAAAGTTAATTCTTCCCGAACCTCATCCCCTCGTTCTTCGCCCTTCGCTGCAGATCCCTCCCCCCTCTCTTCCCACATTCCTTGCTCCGCGAGTGAGGCCCGAGGAAACGGACTTCTCTCATCCGAAGATGACGGACAGATATTATTTCCACAAATCGACTTACCCCCGCCGATTTGCGCCGCCAATTACCAAACACCCTGTATACTCTCGTGAAGCGACGATATCCCGTGGAAGCCGGGCGTAACCGCGTCGAGAATTGGGTGCCGGCGTACGAGCAGCAGCGGCGGCGGCGATGGCGGCGGCGGTGGCGGCAACGGGGAGATACCAGCAGCTAGAAACGACCAGGAGGAGAGAGGTTGGAAACTGTGATGCCCGCAAAAAGCATGGCAGACAGCGCCGATCGTTTTTGCTCGGCGTCAGCCGCGTTCCTACCGCCGCGTCGTCGTACTTCGTGGTGGTACATCGTTCTACCCTCTCTCGCTTCCTCACCCCTAGCCCTCTCCCACTCTTGCATTCATCCTCCCTTCTTGCTTCCCTGCTTCGTCCTCTCTCTCTTTCTGCCATAAGTCCCCCCCTCCTTCGATCTCTCTCGCTCTCTTCCTTTCGTTTTCTCGTCTTCTGTCTCCCTCCTGCTCTTCCTCTCTCCACTATGTGACGTTCAGGTTGTCGCGATCCATCTATCTGTCTATCTCTCTATCTCTGTCGCGTGTTCCATTCGCCTCGGGATCGTGCAAACGGATGGGATTACCTTCTCCTCCTCCTGCTCCTCCTCCTTCGCGGTTTACGCATCCAGGAAAATAGATTACACCGTACCGCTATGAGAGGATACGACAGCGACGTCCAGCACGGGGAACGCGCCGCGTCCTGGGATCGAGATTTCATCATTAACTTCATCGATTGTTGCCGGCGACGCGGTGGGATCGGGCTGCCGCGCGAGGAGCGATGTTATTAGCGCGGCCGATTACCACGAGTGGTGAAACCTCTCGGTTTCGAACCGCGCCAGCCTCGTTCCCGTTCAATTACCCTAACGATCGAACGTCGCGAACGAAACCCGCGAGTTGACGCGTACTTGCGCCGGTATTTATTTATTTATTAAGCGGGGAAGAAACAGGGAGAGCCCCTTTTTTTACAATAAGATAAATAAGATAAAGACGCGTTGCCAGTGTATAACGCATACGTATATTTACGTTTACAGAGTTACATTTTAAGTGAAACCCACACGGAAAGAAATTAGTCTTAAATCAATGATAGATATTCTCATATACACGAGTAAATAAGAGTTATGATTATAATCTTCTTAAGAATATTATAATATTCGTGCTTACATGTGAAAATACCTATTATTAATTTAAAACTATTTTTCCCGCGCGAGAAAAAAATTGAAAAGGCTGACCACAAGCAAAGAAGAATCGTCAAGTGTAATACATATTTTCGACGATATCCTTCATCGTGAGCATTCGGAAGCATTCTTCGAATGCGCGCAAGGTGATCTCGCGTGGAATGTGTTAATCGCTCGTTCTCGAAACGGAAATTACGCGCTCCGCACGGTAGTTGAGCACTCGACTCAGCGCCGCCGATACTCGCGGATTTCGGTTTCGCGCTTTCTCCTCGCAGCCTTGGATCCCGAGAGTGTATCCTCAAGCTCCTTCTTAAGGACATCTCCGCGGCCCCTGACAGGCTTGACTAATGGTTATCCTGCATCCGCCCTCCAGCTATATAGTTCTCTCCCTCCCTCCCCCCTCGCCCCTCCCATCAATTCACGCATACATCTCCGTTTCTCTTTCGCATTGCGATGATATCAACCGCTCGGAGCGCTCCAGTTCGCTAACGAAAGGAATCGACTTATCTAATGATCAATCTTACGAGTGTTTCTTCGGCCGATGTGTGTGTGTGAGAGGAAGCGTCGAATTTCGATCGGTTCTCACAAATAGTGAGTACAGTTGGAATATTTAGTCGCATGCACAACGAAATTCCCACAGTTACTCACTGGCTCCGCGCAATGGTCGTTACAGGATAAAGCGCGAATCGACGGAACGAAACGGCGAATCGTTTAATACCGGCCTCTGTCCGCTTTTTATTCTTTTTACGAGGGCAGTAAACTTGGTCCGTCCGACCGACCTTCGGAGATTCACTTTCATTTTCGACTTAAACGATGCGGCTAGCTGTAAAACCCGAACTGTTCCCCCTATAAAGAAATTGATCCCGCGGAGCGTATAACGCGAACAATGTTTATCGACTCGGCTATTATCTTTCCCTTTTCGACGCTCCAGGCGGCTCTCGATGCACATATTGGCACACCTGTGTTATATCGGCGTCGTTAAATGTCCGGCCACTGGGCGAAGGGGGTAAAAATTAATCATGCGCATGTCCCGAGCACTTCTGGAATTTCGCGGGATCGCACTTGTTGGTAGCGTTATAAAACTAATCACGATTTCCTCGTCGATCCCTGTCTCCTCTGCCGAATTCTGTGAAATACAGAATCTCCCGCGGGGGGCATACGTGATTATTTATAATACGTCGTCGCTGAACCACGCGATCCTTTCAACCTTGTCTCCACTCGACGCACAATACGCGATCGTAAAATTCCGCGCAGTCCTCGTAAATTAGTTAAACGAGCTCTCTTGCGCGGGCGTCTAAAACGCGCATGCATACGCACACGCACGCACGCACACACATACACACACGGTGAGCAAGAATGTAAAGGGCGCAGGACAAAAAGAGGAACGAACGGGGATTTATTCGACGCATCCTCGGCTCGTCGTTATTTTTTGATAATTTTTTCACACTGAATATACACCACCGGCGATTGCAATAATCGCGATGAAAGTTACGCTATCATTCCGATTCGCGCATTCATTCCCGGCCGTCGGAGCATTTACCCACCGCTCGGCTGAATAAACTAATTAACCATATCGTTGTATTAAACACCCGTAAGTAATGGCGCGCATTAAATGCCGCATAAAACATCATAGGAGCGTTTATACGTCCGGCGCTGTAAAAATATTAACCACCATTGCCAAGCGGAACGAGAACTCGTAAATATTTATACGTGCCCTACGCGCGGTTTTCATTAATTTGATACGCGATACGCGCGCAGTTCACCGCAACAGCGTTAGCAACAAACAACGAAACGAAGGAAGTGCACTGTTCGTTCGTTCGTTCGTTCGTTCGTTCGTTCGTTCGCTCGTTTGTATATTTTCCGAGGCTATCGATAATGCCATGGCTTTTTTCTTGTTATTATCGCAAGAAAATAATAGATAATATCCGCGATCCGACGATGATCGGGAAAACGAACGAATGAACGAATCCAACGTATCGTTTGCAAGACAATATATTGTCTCTGATTTTCCATAAGAGATTCGTTCATTAATAGAGATTCGTTAAGTCGCGAGAAGTACAGTCATAAATTTGATACACGCAACAAACGCAATGAGCCAACGATTAAGACGTCAAGGTGTCGAGAGATACGAAACAAAACGCAGAAGCCACGAGCAAATACTCCTCGATATCGCGAATATCATCAAGTTTCCTCTCTCGAACAGTTGATTCTGCATGTTTCAGTAAGCAAGCTGTGTTCGATGGAAAGAAGGCAATTAGAGGCGGCATACCATTCGTCTTCCGTAAGTACAACAGACGGTTACGAACAATTATGACATATTATTATTATTATGGTCGCATCGAAACATCAAAATAACTGATCTCCGCGATGATAGATTTTCGATAACGGCATTGAGCTAGTTTTTCGTGCCTCTATTGTCTTTTTAATAATTACTTTTCTGTAAATTTATTTAGATTCATTCAAGTAACAATATTTAAATAATTTAAGTAATCAATTTTAATTTGCAGCAAAATTAAAATTAAAATATACACGCGATATAAAAGTACGAAAATATTATTTTCTCCGCACCGTATAAAAGTCTCAAATATCATATTTATTTTTATCTCAGCTCACGAACGGTCAACCTTTTTTCAGCTATACGCGAGCCGTTAGATAACGTTTCAATCGATATGCGGTAAAAGTTGCAATGAATTTCGAATTCTTTTCGCGGCGCAGCTTATTTCTTAAAAAGTCGAATAATGATACAGAGGCGAGTTTGAAATGACGAAAATGCCGGGAAATAAACGAAAAATATCGACGATCGACACGAGTCGGAGCACTTTTTTCGAAGACAGAAAGCGACTTTCATACCGATTCGTCTGTAACGACGCGTAATTGCCGCAGCACAATTCGGAGCATGGACGTTTGGGCCACCTCACGGCTTCGCCAGGATCATTCGTTGGAACGTGGAGAAATCACCGGAGCGGTTGCCCAGCGGAGACGTCGAGGCGATATTCTCAATAATGGACAGCGAATTCACGCGATCATTGTGGAACTCACAGTTTAGGTTAACGTACAGGCTAATATTGCGCGAGAAAGAGCTGCACTTCAATATCGGCGTGTACAACCCTAGCAGAGACGACACGTTCAGCTTTAATTTGCTCTTACACACTTACTTCAAGGTACCCGACGTCAGGAGGTGCCAGATCACAGGACTGCATGGATGCACGTTCATCGACAAGGTAGATTTCTCCACAATGTATCGCTAAGATCCCGGGTAAACATAGATACACGTCGAAAGTATTTTGAGTATTTGGCGAAAAGAAAATCGCTTGTTTCTCTTGAACATTTCTCTAACTTACTTAGAAATAATTGGATAAAAAAATCAAGTCTTACGATTATTCAGACTGATGTTCGTGTATATTTTTTATAGTGTACACGGAAAAATGTTGTATCAATAGCTTTTTGAGTGAATTAAAACTGATTTCTCTCTTCCTTCATTCGCGATGAAATGTAAAATTATAGGCGGAAAAAATGTATCAGTAGAATTGGTTAATAGCGCCATGATTGGAATAAATCTTTTTATTTCAATAACAATATATTATTGAAGCTAATATATTATATATTCCTTCAATAACTCTAGTATTGGTATTTCAGTGATATTATTATTGAATCAAAAAGATTTATTCCAATTATGGCGCTATTGATTAATTTTATTGATGCGTCAGCATTTACTTTTCATACTTTTTATAAATTTTATACTGCATCGCGAATGAAGGAATTAAGGAATTAATTCCAAATCGCTTAAAAGTCCTGTCGTTAGCAGTTGCTGTAGCTGTCATAGCAGTTTTTCATCAAAATCTTATTTTTGGCTTAGAAGATATTAAAGGTAGAAAGTAATATGTTAACCTTAAGGGATATGTATAAAAAGTATCAACTTTAATTGCAAATATATCTTATATATATATTATATATCAGCTCTCGATTAATCAATGTTTTTACGCGAGCAGTTTAATAATATTTCAATGTATACATAACGCAAGTTTCATCGAATTCTTATCAAAACTCATTTCACTTTACAATGTCCTTAATTAAAAATCTACATTTCTTTATACGGGTTTACCAATTAAAAATCAGTGCTTTTCGAACGAAGTACGGACGAAACTTCGTTAAACCCGAAAGGATGATTTGCTCGTCACAATCCCTGCCTCTCAAGATATTTTATTCTCGCGCGCAGACCAGGGACAACCAAGTCTTCCAAGAAGGCCGCGACGTCGTCACGGTATGCGAATGGACCGACAGGATCTACCAGAACACGCAGCCGGAGCATATCATCACGAATGTCGTATCCGGTAGGAAGATGCGTGTGCAGAAGTATAACTTTCCCGACACCGTCGTGTGGAATCCCTGGCAAGAGAAGGCGCGCGATATACCGGACTTCGGCGACGACGAATTTCCCAACATGATATGCGTCGAGAGCGGACACGTTAGTAGCCCGGTTATATTGCTGCCAGGAACGGCCTTCGAAGCCAGCCAGATTCTACAGGTAACGCACTATCTCTCTCTCTTTTTCTTTTTCTCCCCTACCTTTACTCCATCATGATATTATAATCGCGCGATCGCTACTCGCAATCTTCAATTTTTAAGATCCAACTAATTGACAAATCGTTGCTACATAAAACGTAACTTCCCGTCAACTGTAGAACCTATATCAAGCCTCAATCAAATATTAACATCTACCAGACCGAGACGTTCTTGTTTTTCCAATTGTGTGCATCGTGTTTGGATGTGCTTTTCAGGGTGAGAGACAATATTTATTATTGCCCTTCGAATATCTTTGAAATATGAGAGAGTAGGAGAAAAATTACCCAACAACAAAAGATTCATTAATACCAATAGTCGTTATTTTGAACACCTTCTGTAAACATAAACATTTTCAACTTCATGTAATTGTTAATAATATTTTTATTTGTCGAAGATATTCAGAGTGAAAATAGTTATTGCCTCAGCCTGTATATCATAATTGTTAATTATTTAATTAATTTATCATTATCTATAATTTGTCATTATATGGCAACTTCATGTCATATCATATCGTGACATGTTACATTCCGAGATGCAGGAACGATTAGGGAAACTAGGTGTTTTCAGCTCAGGGTAAGCGTTAAGGTTTCATTGAAGCTTGATGTACATTGATGGTCTTCGTTGTTTGCGATATGTTGAACCGTCATATCGATACACCACCACCGATACACGCCTGGTTCTCAATGATATTCGTTGAATACCGACTCGGGAAATTACCGATGCGGTATGAACGCCCCTTAACCGCGCGCGTGTAGGCGCGCTTGCAATTAATTACATGACGAAACCAGAGCTCTCGGAGCGTAATCCGAGTCGCCGAACTCTTGCCTGAAATCTTACGCTATTGGCCGTAATTACGCTCGCACGAGAAACCGCTCTCGCTGCACCGATACTGTCCGAAGTAGTTGCTAACGGAAATAGGTAAATTGTCGGAGAACCGATAGTTTATTCGCTTCTTATCAGGGACTATTTGAAATACCACTGCTATTATCGCTGTGATTCTCTCTCTGATGCTGTGAAAGTTCTTTTATTCAGAGTTTTCACTTGTGAAACACTTGGTACGAATTGACAGCGCCGTAACGCTGTAAAAGTAATTAACTGCGTTCAGCAGGAGTCAGCGCTTAGTAAGAGTTCAATGATTCTTGTCTGCTACCGGAGTATACTTTTAGATCCTTGATGGATCCAAAAGAATATAACGATCAGAAGCAATAATCATTAATCGTTGACTTCTAGCAGCCATTATCACTATTCTCTCTGATTCTAGAAATTCTTTTTTTTTATCAGGTAATTTAAGAGAACGTGTTACCTTGTGAAACATCCACACACAGACAAATATTACTTGTACTGCGAAGAAAAGCAATTACTTAATTTATTTTTCTCTTTTTAAATAATACTTATCTTTTCGTATGAAGGATATTTTTTTTCTTGGTAATAATATTAAAATATACTCATCACAGATATTAGAAAAGCTCATTATTATTTACAAAAGATAGTGAACTTTTCCAATATTTGTGATGAGTATATTCTAATAACATATCACACACGAAAATACTCTTTGTTCAAGATAACCATTACTTAAAAGGAAAAAAAGCTTAGTAAGTGCTTTTCTTCGCAAGTACAAATCATATTTTTCCCTGTGTGGCGTAAATCGATAACGACATAAGACGGTAGTAGTAATTGTCGCCGTTAATCCCCTCTAACGCTGGAAATTCTTGTCTCTTACCGGGAAACTAAGGAGAACGTATTGCACTTGTGAAACACCTGGTATGCATTGATAGCGACGTAACTTAGCATAAAGCATAAGCAGCGCTACATACGTTAACGAGTATCACGCAATATATATACTACTGTATAAACAACTACGACTTGCAATTCTTCTCGCAGTTACATATGCGCGCGCGCGTGTATTGGAGTCATCGAAAGGGTCGCACGCTTGGCGGTTTACCGGTTCTCGTTTCGCAGAACAACTCCAGACTGGCGAACGAACGGGGATTAGCGACGATTAAATCAGAAGCCCGTTCTCGGCGCGTGTCGAGTGTTAAATATGCCTTTCTGGTTCTCAGACTGAAGCAACGTCGTACGTAATGCTCATAGAAGAAGAACGGAACTGGAATTGAAAGGGCGCATTTAGCGTTCGCTATGCGTCCAAAATAAGGCCCCAAATCAAGAGCCTTATTCTGAACGCATACTGAAGATACATAAATGATACCTTTTTGATTCTCAAGCTGAAACAACGTTATACGCAATGTTATACGCAATGTTTATATCAGAAAAGGCGAAACTTGGAAAAAGTCGCACTTGGCGTTCGCTGTACGTCCAAAATAGGGCCCCATAGAGGGGGGGGGGAGGGGGCTCATTTTAGATGCGTATCCGATAAACACCTCTTGATCGAACGAAACAGATTTCCCGGTTACAAGAAGCGAATTTAATTCGTAAAAAGAGTTGACGAGAGCAAAGCAGTCTCGCGTAGCACTCGGCGAGTGTCCACGATTGAGCCTCATGTCACCGATCGATTCCAGGTGATGTGAGTAGAGAGTGGATCGACATCGCATGTCAACGCCGGAGGTGGTAGCAATCCGCTGCTTCCGGCCGCATCCTCAGCATCGTCCGCCGTCTGGCCAGCCGCCGCCGGCGCTGGCTGGCTCTACATGCCTCCGCCGCCGCCACCGCCGCCTCCGCCGCCGCCGCCGCCACCTCCGCCGTCGCATCCGTCACACCTGCATTCCCACTGCGTCGCCCAGACCTGCACGATATGCTCCCTGAACCTTTAGAGATCTCTCGGACTCGAGGAGGAAAAGCCGGTCCGGCCGCTGCAAGCTGACCGAACTCTCGTGAAAGATTTCCTCACTTCCTCTCTTCCCGCGCAGCCTCCCTGGATCGCACAGTTTCCCCAAAGAAGGAGATTTCCACGCGCTACCGTGTATACGCCGACGAGGAATACGTGTCTTTCCGTCACGTCTCCGTAGCCGCACGAGGAAGCGGCGACTCGCGTCGGCAAAGAGAAGGCTAGACTAGTTAATTTCGTCCGGAATCTGTCTCCCTTCGTTGAGTCGTCCTTGCGTCCTTGCTCATGCCTTCGTCGTCTTCACGCCACGTCCGTATCTCGAGGTCACGGCCAGCGATTTGGACGACGGCCGATCGGAGAATGCGCCCGAGAAATCGATCGATCTTTCTCTCTCCGCGTTATACCATCGTCCGGATGATATTCAGAATTTGGACAAGAATTGGTAATTGCGTGTAATCAATGATCGCCTTCACTTGTCCCGATAATAGCAATATTCAGCTTTCTTTTGTTGAAAGCACTTGAAATCGATGAAAATTTACAGAAAGAGGTGTCGGTATGAGGACGTTACGCGAGAATGAAGGATCTCTGTCCTAAAGAATGTCGTTCTGAAAAGAGAGAGAGAGAGAGAGACGTGTTCGATCCGAAGTTTCTTCTCTGCGATCCATCACGAATATCTGCATACATTCCATACACCGCTAACTTAATTCAGCCCATCGAAGGATATGAATATCCAGACGGGACATGTATTGTCATTCGAAACGAGCGAGTTGTTGAGCAATTTTTGAGTAAGGGGAAAGTCACGTCACGTCGGGTCATTCGGCTCACGCGTACTTGCTTTATTTGTATAAATTTACAATACGTTGACATGCAGCAAGTGCTTTCAAAGATGCTGCTTCGTATTTTGCAAACGTTACAATTTCAGCACAAGCTGATATAAATAATAACTTGAGATAATAATAATAATAACAATTTGCAATAATAAGTATAACTAATAAATGTTACAATAACAACAATAACTTTAAATAATAATAATATTATATTATACTGTAATAATATTATTTAAATAATAATAATAGTCCCAGAAGAAAAGTCGAATATACTCGAGGAAACCGTGAGGAAATTACCCGAAACGCCGTGATCTTCCCTCACCGCTAATTAGACCTTCCCCTCGTCGAATGCTCCGTCCAGATGTTCACATGCCGATGGCGCGTACCATTCCGTAATTCATCGCGACGACGCGCGCAGTTAGTAGCATTCCCTCCGTGAGCCGGCGAGGAAAAGTTGCGATTTGAAGAGACAATATTTCGATGAGACAGATTGCGGTCGTGATTTTATCACCGGGGAACAAGCGTCCTTTCGAACGGTTTCGAATAAACCGAATCTCTTCTCGCGAGGCTCTCAAAGTCCCAAGTCTTGCTCGAGCCTGCCTCATGAGCAAATATCGTACTTTCGGATGGCAATCTTCCTTTGTAGCGTAGATCATGTATCTGCGAAGATGGTACAACTTACAAGCGTCTCTCACGCTGAGCGCTGTGTGAGGCTTCATTCGTCTGTCTCAGTCTCACTTGGCGGCCCGAATCAAATTAATAATCAGATGGAAAGAGTAAGAAACATGTGTCTCGTGTCCGTTGTTCTTCGCATCACTTCTGGGTGGATTAGCGCGAGATGCATTGTTCATAGACGTGTGGTAAACGAATTCATTGCCAGATATAACGACGCGGCTGAAAGAGCCGACGTACGACTTGATCCACTTTGTAAGACGTACTTTTCGCGTATAGAGGAACCAATTGTAATGAGCATCGTGCGAATCTGAAACTCGCATTCTCGAAAGATTTTCTGAGGCACTATACTTAATTATTGTCGGAGGCATCGGGAAATGTCTGGGCTTCGTACGCACTTTGAGTTGCCTATGTTCGTCACGCGCGAACTCTTATAGACCTTCGGATAGTGTTCGATTCTTAAAAAAAAATAATAATAATAACACGTTTTTAATCTCATGTAGACCACTTAATCTTAACTAAAATACATAAATTTTCATAAAATTTCAGATTCCTTAATATATAGGAGCTGCTAATTTTAAGAGGTTGATGAAACTTGGATATACCTTATCGAATCTAACGCATACTAAACGAAAGACGAGTCTGAAGTACAAAGCATTTACTATAATTTCACTAAAGAATTAATTATAACAAGAGAAAGAAACGTCACACACAGAGAGAAAGAGAGAGAGAGAGAGAGAGAGAGGAGAAGAAGATGGAAGAAATGTAGTCGAATTGTTTGTCGACATGCGTACTCATTCGCTGCTGATGTTCTACAGAGACATCGATGATTAGAATTCTAAGTGATTTTCATTCGAGTTTTTCCAAATGGACACTTCCTTCCTGTTACAATCGTTTAGTATAAGAAGAAGAAAATCGAGCCCCCCCCCCCNAGACTACATGGATTAGTTCAATTTTGCGATACACAATTTACCTACGAACAATACAAATATGGTGCTATTGTTACGAATATAATGTTGTAATAATAAGTAGCGACAGTAGATAAGCTCAGTTGGCATTCTTTCCGTATTAATGCTGCCATTTCGAATATATAATTTCCCTGCCCTAAATTTTTCGATATTCTACTGTCCCGAATAATATATACCATATAGCAAGATCCGGTCACACACACACATACACACACACTTCTCCCACGTGTAAGAAGAAACGTTGCATCATCGAAATAGACATAAGTGAATATTTATACCATAACGTATCGATTTACGAGATATTATCATAAAAATTACATGCGTATACGAAACATTTGTAAAGGTATTAACTAATTGTGTCCGTAACAGGAGATGGAGGTAAGCAGCGTTTTTAGATAATTGCATTATTATTATTATTACGATTAAAGTATCATACAAAACGAACGAGAGTGCCATTGATTTTGTGCCGAAATAATTTATGTTTGTATTAATTTATACGGGATGCTTCTCTTGTGTGCCTTTCCGTCGTTTTCATATTCCAAAAGCAAAAAAAAACGCATTTCGTTCACGCGAACATTAACACGCGTCTTTCTATTACGTTAACGTTTAAGATTCGTCCAAATTGTGCTCTTCGTTTTCGTCCGATAAAATTTACGCGACCGGCTGGCGTAATATCCATAAGATAAATTTTCTATCTCAACACGATGTAAGGAAAAGGAAAACAGCTTGTTACCCCTGAATTCGACCACTGATGAAAGTACGTGGAACAAATCGACCACGTGTACAGTTATTATTCGCGGGTGAAAAGAAAATCACAATCATCCATTAGTCTGTGTCAATTTCTTGCGTTGAGTGGACTTCCCCGATACGGTAATAACAGTATCGTATGTAAATTCCTCGAATGGACTACTACGTACCGGTAGTATACTATTACAATTAAATAAATGCTCAATATAGCGCGTTGTTCCTTGCATATTATTAAACTTGGAGCCAGGCAGAAAAGGATGCAGAAAAAGTAAAAAAAAAATATATAAATGAAAACGAAAGAACGAATGGAACGTTCCTGCTTATAGATGTGTTAGAGAACGCCAAAACATACAGCCTAGTGAATCAGACTACGACTATTAACGACTATTTCGGATAGGAGGATATTGAATTTCACCGTTTTCGGACCGCATTGAGGACTCTATCTTATTAACGATTTTTGGTCTTTAGAGGCTAGACAATACGTTCGTCGTTTAATCATAACTATACATTCTTTCTTCCTTTCCCCATATTAGCGATTAAGGTTCGGTCTTCCACTGCAGTGACATTTTATCGAATCGCATCGTAATATTACCGTTCTCACTCGATTCAATGTTAATATTCCGAATACTTGTAATTAAAGCGAAGTTACGAAATCACGACTAAACAGTATGTTAAGAAAGTGTACTCTTTTTGGGAAAGTGCAATAAAAATATGGGAAACGATTGTACAATCTCCTCCATGTCCTTTCGTCACACGATAATTCGCCTTTGTTTTCTGCTCTTATCTATTATTGATTATCCCTATCCCTATAGTGAATGAATAAAGCGGTATCGTGTTGCCTGTCGCAACGACAGCGAAAAAGAAAGAGAGATAAATATATGCATATATGTCGCAAAGAATATATATCTTGTTAAAATTCGAACAGTTTATTACGAGCCAGAGGGGACGACAACGGCACATGTACATACCTAAAGTCATTCGCCTGTTACATTTAATTACATAACATATATTAAATAAGTGAAAGTCAGAATTTACAGATCGGAAATTAGCACTATAAATATCATATTATTTAATTAATGTCCTTATATCTAGTTCTAGAGAAACCAGTCAAATGCGGAATTTCTTTGACTGAATTTAGGTGTAGGTAACGACAAGCTTTATACACACTGACTATTAACTGTTTCCGTGAGCAATACATGTAAATAACAAGATAATTGAGGCTAGGTCCTGTTGTATAACGCATGGCTTTGCACGGCCGATACTGGAAAAATTCTCTAACGTCAACGACATGATGATATCTTATGTATTCCCGATAAACGTTATCTTTTATCTCTTACATTGGTAAATTTTTTTTAAACATCGCCATTGGTGACAGCCATTCTTATTGCAAAAATTTACACACTTTTCCCCCCCATTGAATTATCTCGCCGCCTGCTTAGACTTATCTCCCTGTTCCTGTTGCTTTTTCTGTTGCTTCTCCCTCATTCTTTCCGCATCACTAGAAAGGACGAGAAAATCATGAGTTCATGCTCGTAAAAACCAATAAATAAGATTCATAAAATACTATAAATAATAATATTAATAAAATTATCGGTAAACGATGTCGACTCGATGCCAATTTAATTGCACATAAGATAAACGTGTACAGTGGAATGCAAAACTGTTTGGATGCAGCTGAGTTCAGAGCGCAGCGATGGTCCAATAAAGGAACTTCTTTTTAACTAATTCGTTTTTTCATTAGATATAGAATAGAATAGAATGAGCATTGCCGTTTTAGAGCTGAAGCCAAGATCAAGGAACAGAGATATGTTAACAGTGCTTCTTCTGTTTCACAGTACTACAAGAGAGGGCGATGTTGAGGGAAACAGAAGAGTGAGAGTAGACACATAAATGATACATTATGTATCGCTTCTCCTCTTTCTTTCTTCCCACCAACTACACAATTAGATAAGGAAAGCACTGCTGTCTTCATCGCCCTCTCTCAGCCTCGGTCCACAACTTAGGGTTTGTTATTTATAGTTCAACTAGCTGTTTTAGTTCAAGAAATTTACATACACGTTAAAGTGTATGGAACGTACGTACGAGATTCTCACGCTTCAGTGTGTATAAATTCTTCAAACTAGTGCAGCTATTTCAGCTAAAAAGAACAAACCGCTTGTTTCAAGCGCAAACAAACTGACCAATCACGGTCGGTTGTTCTTTTAATGAACGACTATGATTGGTCAATCTTCTTACTGAATTACATCTTAAAGCAAGATGTGGACTAAGGCATACTAACGCGATTTCAGTCCTCCAATGAGAATGCTCAGTCTATTCCATACGTTTATGCTTCCCACTACAATTCGTTAATTCACACATTAAGGGAGCTCACCGTGCTTTACGCTGTTCCAGAGAAAGGCCTTTATTACTCTCTTGTTCAGCAGCTGCCTTCTTTACAGTTTTTTTCATGTTCTTCGCTCGTGCTAGTTCACGTTGATTTCCGCCTAGAATGAAACTTCTCCTGAAGAGACTCTTCTGAGGAAATTTCAAGGATGCTTAAGTTCGTAAGGAGGATAATAGTTTCCGTCACAATTCGATCGATATTCTCCGGTGCGACGCGTCTCTCCAGGCTTATTACGAAAACCGAGAAACTCGATCGAAATGTGATCAATTTAGCGCAGCCGATCGACTAATCTATATCCCTCAATTATTTCGATTCGAACACGATGTTTACAAGGGCGCTGCCTGTGCGCGCGCATGCGCACGCAATTCAAAATCGCGCTTGCACGAGTGGAACGAGGCGACAATAACATGCGCGGACGCTCGCACGCTTGCTGCTAAATATAATTGATAGGCACCGCGAGTATTTCACCGGGCGATTCGATCGGCGAGCGAGTGACCCGAGTCACTCGCCCGTTATCGAATTTATCGCGAGACCGTCCGGAGGGTGGTGCGATTTATCGGGAAATGGCGACGAGGCAAAAAGAAAAGTAAAACTGGCTGCGCCGCCGTAAAGCATATTTTCCGCCATATTCATTTGTATTCCTCCGAACTCGTCAACAGCCACTGGCTTCGGATCAATGCGAATTCCTCACAGGCACCGACTAGTCTCGATCGCTCGATACGTGCACGCGCAATTATCGGCTCACCGCGACGCCACGCGTCCGAGAGCGAAGAACGAAAATCTCACGAATGACGGGCGAACCGATCGCGAGGAACTTATCCGAGGTGCTTCCTTCAATAACGCTTGTATCTCGAAAGCGGAAGCTCGCGAAACCGTTTCCCCGAGTGAGAAACAGGCAGAAGCGAGGAGCACTCTCGGCAGTCACCGTCGTACAGCTCCGGCGGTATCGACTTTTCCGAAACAACACTTGGCGGGACGATCGGCGACGAAGCTCGGAGCGAGGAGATTCGGCGCACCGTCGGCCCCCGTGCGCTCGGCTCGGGCCAGCGATTCGTCGAGAGGCGTGCATCGCGTGAAAGGTCCCCGGCCGGGAGGAGAGGACGCGCGCGTGAATGGCAATGGCAGCCGCGGCGACGGTCAGAGTTCGCTCGCTCGCTCTCTATCTCTCTGACGTGTTCCCGTCGCGACGGCCAACGAGGTGGTGCACGATCGACTCGACGACGATGATGACGCGCGGCACACTTACGGGTCATGTTTTTTCTCAGTTCTTGATCTCCGATAAGCAAGTACTTGGGGAACACCGGGACCACCGGGAAATCGGTGTGACTCGACACAGCCGGGCGATGCGCGTACACACGGTTCGTCGCGGACTAACTCTTCCAAACCAAAATAAATATGGTTCTACGTCGTCGACGTTCTCCGCTGTGCCGCAGCTGTGCAGTGATGCCACGTGTTTCCCGCCTAGTGACATTCGACGGGCTGTCATTATCGTCCGGCGGACGGCGGTCGCGCGAGCAGCCTCCCCCTAGGCGCGGAAAAGTGGATAGTTCCGCGTGAAAAGTCCGACGTCGCCGTTATTCGGGGAGATGCCACGGGATCGTTGAAATCGTCCGGTTCGCGAGGAAATTGTCGCGCACAGAGAGGAGTTACATGAGCGCCACTACTTGCCGGCACAATTTTTCTAGACACAACGTGTAGTTCCATCTGGACGAATCTAGAACATCTGTTTTCGACGACATTCCGGCTGAATTCCGACACTCACTGGCAGTACTGAAAGTCTATAGTTCATGTCACGTGTAGTGTAGATTTTCAGTACTAGCAGTAAATATCGCAGAACGCAGCTTTCCATACGTACGTTTTCGAGGAAGATTTTATTCTCGACTGCTGTTGCAAAACTCGACGAGCGTTTCCCATTGGCTCCTCTCCCATCGCTCGCAGATCACGGAGTAAAATTTTCCTTGAAAAGAACGTTTCGGCATACAGCCCTAGATGTAACAGGGTAGGTAACTTTTTGATTGGCTTTAGATCTAGTTTTAGACAAAAGCTGTATTATCTCCAGATGATATTGAATATGAATTTTTTTGTCAAATTGAACTCTACTTCATAACAATTTTCAGTATTTGACAAACTTTATATTCATACAAAATAGAGACTTCAAGTTATAAAAATGTACTTCTTGAATTATATATATTTATGGAAAAATAAGTAAAATATAATATTTTTCCCATAATCAAGCGATGGTATCCTCGGTTGAATATTTTTATGCACACAGCTATTAATATTCGATTTCGCTTAATCGAGCTTGGTTTCGAAGAATGTCACAGGAACAATGAATGTTTCAACTTTCCAAGTTTCTATAAATTTTAATTTCAATTAATTTACATCTATTAATATATACGCGCACATATTTATCGGAAAATTTTACCGACAATGTAATATAGCGCAAAAATCAAACGTTGTATAAAGAAAAGATTTTTCAATTCATATAATTTACAAAAGAGAGTAGGAAAATATTTTTGGCATTTTTTTACGTGTAGCGTGATCACACAAGGTGCTGATAGATGTTTCATTATTATTCTGTAAATAGCACAATATCCTCAAACCCCACCGTGCAAAGAATGCCTGCCACAGCAAGTTTGTAAGATGTATCAACGTGTATAACTCGTTTTACATTTTACATGTAATCTTTCTAAAATCAGACTTATGTCTTAAACACGATATTTAAGGCTTACGTAATATGATAAATTTATAATGTATAAATTTACGTTTTAACATTACTACTAGAATTATGCTATTTTACTGACAATAACAGATATATGTGTAGCGTATACAAGTTGTCCGATACTGTGTACCTGCTTTTAATTCTGTATATATTACACGCTTTATCATAGAAAATTAAGTCTGAGAGTAAATTCCCGTTTACAATAAGTGTTTGAAACCCTAAGCCTTAGAAAATTGACCAACCACAGTCTATTATTCTCCCTCACGCTCGACTGTGATCAGTCATTTTCTTAATGCTCAAAACACCTCTATCGTAGACCGAGGCTAATAGATAGCAACAGATATTTACGAGCTACAAGCCATACACGCGTCCTTATTCTCGCGTGCACAAGCGAGTATTGCCTCCAAGTTTTTACTCGCTTGTTGACTGATTTGATTTCGCTTCTCAACGTCGCCGGTGTTTCTGTCGGGAGACTGAACAGAGCTGTTAAGGCTGGAGATGGATGCAGAGCTGGATAGGGAGTCGCGACTTCGTAATTTCGACTTGTCCACTGTAAATTGTATCGGATTCGCGGCCGGTTTTGTTCTCAAGTAGTACATGCCGGTCTTCAAACCCTATGAACGATAATGTACTTTAGATCGAAGAAATATCGATTTGACAAAAACGGTGTCTACCACAATTCGGCTAGATTTCCGATTTCAATTGGGTAAAATAATACGAATACTAAGTCAAGTATAAACGGTAATTAATCTTACGCTTTTCCAACCGAAGAAATGCATCGACGTGAGTTTCTCAGTCGTCGGATCCGCTATGTGAATATTCAACGACTGCGATTGGTCGATAAAAGCTCCTCGATCGGCTGCCATCTCGAGGATTATCCTCTGCGGTATCTCCCAAACGGTCTTGTAGAGCTCCTTCAGATCATCGGGAATACGCTCGATATCCTGAAAAGTATACATAACATTGTAAAGCACGCACAAACACATATCTGCTTGGAGCCGAAACAGCATTGGGACATATTAATGGTCGTTACTTGAAACTTGCCTCAAGTGAGATACTCGGATTAGAAATGAGTTCTCCAATTATCAATATACGAACAATCGATCGGAGAAGGAAAAAGCGAAGAGATGGCTGAAGCCACTTACTTGAACAGAACCGAAGTTCGCGAGGATCTCGTTCTGCATATCTTTGTCCCACAAACCTCGAGTGGTCAAGTCTCGCAGCAGATGTGGATTGACGATGACGAATTCCCCGGACAATACGCGTCTCACGTAGATATTGCTGGTGTACGGCTCGATGGACTCGTTGTTTCCCAAGATCTGCGCCGTCGACGCAGTCGGCATAGGCGCAATCAAGAGGGAATTTCTCACCCCGTGCTTCGCGATTTTCGCCTTCAATTCATCCCAGTCCCACAAATCCGTCGGCTTAACGTTCCACATGTCGTATTGCAAAATCTGGAGGGAAAATCGTTACATAATCAGACAAGTGTGCCGACTCTCGGCACAACTACAAAAGTCAAATATTACAGAACTTACGCCCTTGCTGACCGGACTACCCTCGTATGTCTCGTAGGTGCCCTTTTCCGCGGCCAACTCGCAACTGGCCTCCAAGGCGCCGTAATAAAGCGTCTCGAAGATCTTGATGTTGAGCTCCTTCGCCTCCTTGCTCTCGAACGGATATCGCATCAACAGGAACGCGTCCGCCAGACCTTGTATGCCGATACCTGAAGATACGGAATTTTTATTTAATTTCAATTTACGACCGATGTGATTTACGTGGAGAAATTAATTAGCCGTTTAAATTCCTGCAATCTTACCGATAGGTCTATGTCTCTGATTGGACCGTTTTGTCTCGGGAATGGGATAGAAGTTGACGTCGATAACTTTATCCAAATTACGAGCGATGATCTTCGCGACAGTTTTCAACTTGGCGAAGTCGAAAGTCTTGTCGTTGGTATTCACGAACATGTTAACGGCGATAGATGCTAAATTGCACACGGCGACTTCCTCCGGGCTGGAGTACTCGATAACCTCGGTGCACAAATTGCTGCATTTGATCGTGCCCAGGTGTTGATGATTCGATTTGCGATTGCAGTGATCTTTGTAGAGCATATACGGCGTCCCGGTCTCCACCTGCGACCTGAGAATGGCGAGCCACACAGCCCTGGCTTCCACCTGTTTCTTGTAACGACCCTCTTTCTCGTACCTATGGTAAAAGCATAACATTTGATGAGATTCGTTTAAGAATAGATATAGAAATTATGTTAATTTTATATTAACGATTTATTTTTATAATTCACTGATATTAATAAATTATATACTAATAATTTAGGAATTATTAAAGAATACCAATAATGTATACAATCTAGTTACATGTAATATTACATATAAAACCATATGTAATATATCTAACAATTGCCAATATACCTGGTATATAACTCTTTGAATTCGTCTCCCCAGACATCAGCCAAGCCGGGGGACTCGTACGGGCACATTAAGCTCCAAACCTCATCGTTAAATACACGTTCCATGAAAAGATCCGGTATCCACAGAGCGTAAAACAGGTCCCTGGCTCGCAGGTTTCCGTCCCCTATGATGAATGAAGAAATTCAACGACTCTCCAATTCACTTCTCATTCCTCCTCACCATCATATTCCATATAGTAAAAAGGAGGAAACGAAAGATATTACCAATGTTCCTTTTGAGTTCCAGAAAATCAAAGATATCCGCGTGCCACGGTTCCAAATAAACAGCGAACGCTCCGGGTCTCTTATTTCCCCCTTGGTCCACATAAATAGCAATGTCGTTGTACAACTTCAGAACGGATATCAGTCCGTTGGTTGAATCCGTATCGTACATATCGTCCGTGCCTTTGGCACGAATACAATGAACGTTGATCCCTATTCCACCGGCGTATTTGCTGATAAGCGCGCATTTCTTTAACGTGCCGAAAATACCCTTTATAGTGTCGTCATTGAGAGTCAAGAGGAAACAGCTGTATGGAGGAAAATTCTCGTCAATACATGACGTCGGTTTGTCGTGCATTACTGACGCGATTCAGTGCGGTTGTTATTACCTAGACATCTGTTGGTTCTTAGTACAGGCGTTGAACAACGTCGGCGAGGCGTGCGTGAAGTACCGTTCGGACAAGTAATTGTACGTTTCTATAGCTTTATCGATATCATCTTCGTGAATGCCGACAGCTACTCTCATCAGCATATGCTGAGGTCTCTCCACTATCTTGCCGTTGATCTTGAGCAGATAGCTCCTCTCGAGCGTTTTGAAGCCGATGTAATTGTAGTTGAAGTCCCTATCGTATATTATAGCGGAGTCTAATCTCTCCGCATTGTTCTTTATAATCTTGTAATAATGCTCGTTGATTACAGGAGTGGCTTCGTTCGTCACGGGATCCCGGGCGTAATGTAAATCGTGCATCACCTCTGCGAATTGTTAACACGGCGATGAAAAACCTTATGACATAGTAATCGGGGTAAATTAATGAGTTCAAGATGTACCGCTGAAGGTCTTCTTAGTCTCTTTGTGCAGGTTGGACACATCGATACGTGCTGCTAATATAGCGTAATCAGGATGATTAGTTGCCATAGTAGCGGCAGTTTCAGCTGCAAGATTGTCTAATTCGATTGTGGTTACTCCAGAGTATAAGCCACGTATCACTTGAATCGCAACGGCAGACTGAAAAAGAATAAGATATTTATATATTGCACCAAATTATACCTTTAGAAATTGTTGGAATTTACATATATATGTCGATCAAGAGGTTAACTGAAGCCTAATGCGTAAAAATAAAATTTTCTATTTTTTTACTAAGAAATTATACGTATGAATAAATACACGCATAATATACACATATATATGTACAATATATATATATATATATATATATATATATATATATATATAGATGATACATATACTTCAGAATTTAAAAAATTATTATTATGTATGACAAAATTATATGATAGATAAAATCACATAACGATACTTACCGGATCCACATAATTCATATTTAAATTATAACATTGTTTGGCAATTCTCGAGGTGATTTTATCAAAATGAACATCCTCCTTGCGCCCATCTGATGAATATAAGAAAGTTTTCCATTTAAATGAAATTAAGTATAGCGTATTGTAATTGCAATTCGACGTGACAGCCGAGCAACCATTACAACACTCGACACATTAACGTTACATTACGCAAATGAGATTGGTTTAACTTGCGAGTAAATAAATGGTTGCGTGTGGGCAATCGGACGCACTTAGGGGAAAGGTTAATTCGTTAACTTACTGCGCTTGATGACGTGCATCTTGCCGCGCGCGGTTTCCTTGCCCGACATTTTCGCGAGGGAACGGCTAGTGTTTCCCTCCGAAATCTTACGCAACATCGCGCTCGATTCCATGTTAATCACAGACCAGTAATCGAGCCACGCTCAACGCTTCGTGTCTCGACTGTTTGGGCGCGAAACGGAACCTCGTTTGCCACTGGGGATCACGGTCTCCCGCGCATGTGCACCAACCTGTGTCGGTGAAACGCATAGAGATATAAGAATAGAGGGAACAAGCCTGTAAGTGGAAGTGATAGAGGCAAAGAGAGAGATGGATGCCGAGTGTCCTATCTGTCTCTTTCTAGTTGAGCGCTGTGATTGGTTGTTACAATGAGCCGCCAAGACGACCACGCGACGTCAAGAGGGGAGAAAGCAGACTAAAATTTCGTTTTGTAAATATGCGTGCACATGTGTGTAGAATTAAAATTCGTTAAATATTCGAACGTTAACAAAATAATAATTGGACGCGATTTGTTTAAAAATGAGGCATTGTTTGAAATGCAAGGCGGAGTCTTATCCTGGATGTAACCGCAGTTTTCACTCGTAAGAAAGTATAAATACGTAACCTCAAATAATTAGATGTTATTTTTTTCTACATTAAAAAAAATATGTAAATGTTGTAGGCTACCGAAGGATGTAGATATAAAGCGTAAATGGTTGAATATACTTCAACTACCTTTGTATTTTGAAGTGAAAACAGCATATATTTGCAGTGATCATTTTAGCAATGACAGTTTCTTTGAATTGGATGGAGAAAAATGTATAGCTATATCGTCGTTGGCGCGGCAGCCAATCCCAGCGCGTGACTAGAAAGAGACAGATAGGACACTCGGCATCCATCTCTCTCTTTNTTACAGGTAGCATATATCCCTTGTTCCCTCTATTCTTATATCTCTATGGTGAAACGTCTACCTCGGGTGAGTTTTCAAAAATTATCTAGATTCTTCTTCATTACTCTGCCAGTTCAAGTACTGATATTAATATCAATTTGCTTGAAAAATCAAAAAACAATATTGGTATATCTTTCATACCCCGAACGTTTCAAGCCTTGCACGCCGAAGCCCGCCAAAACTTTCATAACCGCCGATCTCTCGCATATGTCGCTGCTGACAAACGGAAATAAAGAACATATGCAACTAACGTAAACATTGCACGGGTGCATCGAGCGCTCGATTGGTCGATCCGACCCAATAGCGAGCGCGACTTTCAAATAGCTCGCTTCCCCGCCGATTTGAATACTCTCGGGATGAATATTACTTAAAAGAATTTGATAATTAGGAATTTAGGTTGATTAACTCTATTTCAGGTCGCTATCAGTCGAGTATTACTTATTCTATTTTGCTAAAATAAATAGAAATTTTATATACGACCAGTAGAGCTGGAGAAATAATAATTGGTTTCTCGATGGGACGACAATATAGTTTTAGGAAAACCGCCCTTTTCACTTTTTTCCGCGGAAAAAAATGGAAAAAATATTTTTTTCACTTTCTTTCACGGAAAGAAACCGAAGAGACTCGCGGGAAGACCAATTTTTCCCGAGCTAAAATTTGTTAACTCGTTTAAAACCACAAACGACAAATTGCGTAAGTGAACATTAGTATTAGCAATTCTGCTAGTTATTCATCAACAAACTTAATTATAATTCAATAGTCTTAAACGTTTTTATAAAAATCTCAACATTCTCTAAACGTTTCTCGGAGAACAGGAGAGGATTTATATGAAGGATACGCAGGAAGATGTCGAAGAAATCGAAACAGATGTCAACCATCCAAGAGTCTCACTTGAATCTCAGTAATATGAACCATCTACAGTGACTTAGAAAACAGCGTTTTAATCGCAGATATATTTACACAAAAGAACCACCCACTGCAGTTCGTAGAAAGGCCAAATTATATCACGTCGTGAAGAGATTCGATGAAGAGAAAAATAATCGATTTAATGCCGATCGCGCGAATCGAGTATCCGCGAGGCCATTATTACATGTACAATTATCTATGTCGCACACACATCACCATCAGGTAAATAGACATCTTTTATGTACACGTTCATACACACAAAGGCACTCTTCGCTAGCACACGTGCACACAATACCGTCGGACGAGCGTACGTTTCTTCATCGGATCGAGTTACGCGGTGAAAAGTCGGGCATACCACTTGTTCAAGTCCGATATTTCTGTATTTTACTTTTTACAAGTAACTCTCGTCATTCATTGAAAAAGAACAGCTCTACGCTGTGGTCGTGAATAATTTTGAAAAGCAACCCCATTGCCGTTACCTCGTTACTCGAGAAATAACGAATCGTTCGAATCTTCATCGACTTTTTCTTCAAGTTCTGAAGACCCCTTTCTTTTGTCACGAGTCGTTTTAATAACAGACACGCGCGGAGTGACGATAAAAATAACAATTGTATCGTTGCCGAGTCGCTACTGGAAAAAAGTAACTTGTTACGACGACGGTGAATAAAGTAACGCGTTATTTCCCAATACCACCGGTGTTACGTAGCGACTTGGAAGAGCCCGCGGTCACACCGGTGGTAAATCAATCATATTTGGCACACACATATGGAAGTACACTCGATTTGCCGGAAAGGAATGTCGACCTTCGCGCTCGGAGAGATCAGCTTTGTCGAAGACATTAACTAATAGGACTGTAGTAAGCGAGGGGAAAGAACCGACCGCGAAAACTTACACGCGAGTAGAACAGAAGCGGCTACTCGCTAGTCCGACGTGTACATACAGCTTCGTCGATCTCTTTACACGTTGGAAACATGATATTTACAGGATCATCGTGACGATAACGCAGTCTACACGAACATCGCGAGAAAGCACGAGATCGGAAGAGGAAATCGTACCTGATGGTAATATACCGAATACGGGATGCATACATGTGTTAAGCTATTATTACCACATATTAGAGCCTGTTTCTCCGTCGCTCCCGTTAGCAACGATTGCTCGATCAGTCGCCGTATCTAACGCAGCCTAGGGACGATTTACACCTTTGGTAACAAGACGACGAGACGCGCGAGTGCTGCCGATGCGCTCGACAGTTTCGCGCGCGGATCGCTTCTTAAATAAATAAATAAATAAATAGGTGGAATCTTAACGAACCAGACGACGCTGCGTCGAGTTTAAAGCGTTGTTCTCAATACCGAGCGAATCCCGGCGTTGGGATTCAGTTTGAAGCAAACCGAATATCGCTAAACCATGAGAGACGCAGTGAAGTTTGATACACGTAAAGACACGCATGAGAGGGACATCGCGATGAAGCGACTCGGGTTTCGGTCGATATTGAAACATACGCAAATGTGAAATTATTTTACACGGGCCCCGTCGATCGATTTAAGTGTAAGTTTCGGAAGAAGCTCTGTGCGGAAGTCAGCACACCTTGTCGATCGTCGTCGACTTCTCTTGCCGCACGACGCATCGTTCTCGCCGCGCTCCTTTCGCTCGAAATGATCGAGAGGAAGAGAAACATCCAAGAATTTACACACGTCGCCACGATTATACAACATTTACACGCATTGTATGTACAGACGCATCCCGCGAAACGCGAGACGGTCGTTAGTGCCATTGAGAAACCGCCTGATATCTATTCTGTGGAGTCGCCGCGCGGAGGTATTCGCATTTTCACATTTATACAAGTCCGCGTGTATGAGCGTTTCGCTATTTATAAACCGTTGTTAAATCGTCATAATCACGAAAGGAAGAGTTCATTTAAACGAATACATAAAAGAGACGAGCGCTCTCGCGACGATATAAACATCGAAGTGGTATTTCAACACGATCTTCGGTAATTCGTATTCACCGTTAGTAATATCGACGATCTATTAAGTTTTATTGTTCACATATACTACATACACACATACACACACATTCTCTCTCTCTCTCTCTCTCTCTCTCTCACTCACGATCTTATCACTAAAATATCCCGATATCCATTATAGTACAGTACGGGGAAGTAACGCTTGGTCTCGCTTTGTACTTTAATAAGTTGTAAACATACAGATATATTGGTGTTACGCTAGACAAGATTCTAGAGATAATTCGTTCTGTGGCCTCGACCGCCTCGAGAGACAAGAGGCGCCTACTGGTCCAGCAGATCGTGTTTGCAGATGCCCGTATAAACGTAACGGCGTAGGAAAAGCGGCCTTTCTCACGGAACCGTGATTTCCCGTCCTCCCGGAGGAATCCCCGATCGAGTCCGCGAGCCTCTCGTGTTGCAGTCGCTATTGAGATATGACGATTCAGGGTCTTGTTCAATCAGGCGGGTCGCGTAGTGTATCTACACTGAGAAACCCTCCATTTGGTTGACTCGAGCTAAATTCTTGTTCGGATGAGAAGCAAGCGAATGTTTCGATTGTGAGAACCAAAGATTTGGTTCTCCGAAGCGAACCCTTTTTCCCTTTCGTTTCAAAGAAGCAAACCTTTGCTTCGGAGAAGCAAATTTTGTTCGGCCATATCCGAGCGAGAATTCTGTTCGAGTCAACCAAGTGGGTTTCTCAATGTACGCACGGTCAGCCTCAGCCTTGTGCTCGTTCTCCTCGTGATAGACGTTCCTCACGCGCGCGAGGAAAACCTAACGCGCGTATCTCTGCAATGAGTATAACAAAGAGATGCGTGAGAGCGTCGCTCACCCGCGACAATATCCCAACGCGATTCGCCCACGTCGCGTTTTTCTACGAGCTGGGTCGACGGTCCCGAGCGTGGCGCGATCGCGACGAAATCAGTCGACACACGTGTGCGTAATCGTTGAGAGGAAAATATCGAACACTCGTTACTGAAATAGCTCGCGAAATCATAACGAAATTATTCGGCTGCTGAGATCCGCCTTGGGATCTCACGAGGCGAGAACATCTCTCTCTCTCTCTCTCTCTACCTGGCAACGCAATGTTCTCGAGTTCGTTGTAAAAACGTGAGTACGAAGTACGAAGTACGATATACGCATTTAAAATTCGCAGCAAAGTATCGCATCAGATTGGTACACGTGAAACGTCGAATTTTTGTTATTCATATTATGTTTTGCCGTATTGTGCTGGAGATACACTGTAAGTTAATACGTTTGGCAAAAATGTAAGTCAGTCGATGTATTAACATGTATTAACATTATCAGTAGATTTTCTTCTGGAATATCGTGCGTGCAGGGTGGTATTAATCTTTGAACATGAGTACCAGTGAAACACGCATTATTATCCGATATGAATTTAAACTCGGAAACGGTGCGGCTGCGGCAGCTTGCAATATCGAAAGAGACAAGGAAATCCGACATTTCACGGTGTATCAATCTAATAATAATAACAACGTATAAATGTACGTGTGTATGTATACACCCGCAAGCAAAATGTTAGCAGTATGTCGGCAGATTGGCAGCAGATTTGATTCAAACATGTCAACAGACTTGGAATCAATTGTCTTCGCATTCACCCAGATAAAACGAATTTCTAAAGGACCTCTTAAATACGTCTGAAAGATATCGAGGAAAAAATATAAAGGGAAAAAAATAGAACGTCTTTTAGGTGTCTTTAAGACATCTTTCAGACATTTGTTCTGCCTGAGCAGAACTTATGTTCCGCCTGCATACACAACCAGATTGGCAACGGAAACTAACTAAATAAAAATCCTAATTATGATAATGCACATATGAAGCACCGAAAGTAACACAAGCATTCGCTGAACGTAGAACGCAGAACCACAATAAGAAATTGTAACAAACAAAACGCACGTAATCCCTCACGAATTCTCAGAGAATTCCACTGAGTCGTGAATTATTCGTTATAATGAACATCTGAATAATATTTCAGGACGAACTGATTGTGGCCAATTCTCCAAGAATTCTACGGATATTCGTTCTTCTAATTCTGCACGTATTCTTTCGAATGAATTCTCTATGAACTTCTTATTCATCTCTGGGATCTGCTCGGTTTCTACCGCCAATCTGCTCCCATTACTCGTCAGCACGTTCCGTCACATTTCTGGCGGCAGTTTGTCAACATAATCATTTAGAATCATCTAGATTTTGTGTTGGATCTGTTGCCTTTCTGGCTTCTGGAGAACTTGCAGCAGGTTCCGTTCGGAATCTGCAAGCTTGGCTATCCGGGTAGACGCGTTAACGCAAGAATCGCAACAACACACAACGCCGATGAGCACCAAAGAAAAGAGATGACACGCTACGAAACGGCTTTCGTTGATTTCCATTTCCCGTAGGCTCGTTATTGCGACGTGGACGGCATTCTGCAAAGCCGACTGGACATACGGCGGCGATACCACGAAGTCAACACGTGCGTTCTACGTTTCCGGGAGAAACAGATCGAACGGGTGAACTTGTTTTTCGCGTGCGACTTGAGCGTGCTATAAACGCAGCAGAAGCTACGAAATACTTCGCTATACTACAGGTCTGTTCTTTGCAGCTGCGCAGCTAAGTTAGCGTGGCGTCAGCACTTCGATTGAAGTAGGTAATGTATATACTCGGCAGAGAAGAAGCGAGAAGAAATTAGAAAAAGATGGCGGGACATAGCACGGAGAAGATGCGGCTGTGAAGAACAGACCTTATACTCACCGTTTAATCGGTCAAATTCACGCACCTCATCTGCCGTTGCAACTTTCGACCGTTTTGCCTCTTACGAGCGCGTTTGTCGTACTGTCTGCTAGTATCACGATCTAATTGCTAAGATTGCGAGCCGCCGCTACTACATTTGCAATTACCACTCTTGTCCTCGCTCTGGTCCAACTCTACCGTGAAATTGTTCCTACTGTCCTCCGCGTGGTTGCTGAAACGTGTTCAATTCGTTCGGTGTACGTAATATATATGTGACGAAATTTCATAATCCTTTAAATTTTCTCGTTCTTCGAGTTTGATGCAATTCAATTAAAAAAAAATAATTTTATATTATAATACAAAATTTGAAACATTTATGCATATAATATAAATTTAAATCGTATATTCAAAGAAAGTCTCGAATTCGATCATACAGTCAGTTGCGGACACTTTTGCCATAACGAATTTCCGAACTTCCGATTACTCAATAAGAAAATTGTACCTCTTCTGAGAACTACTAAAATAATTTTCTATTTAATACGGATACGTTGTGAAATTCGTTGAAAGAAAAACTATAATCATTCTTCCGCTGACTGTACACTCGAGTATACAAAAAATAAAGCGGATGAGAGGTGGAACTTACTATACGTTAAGTGAGGTAGCACCGGTCTCCTCTGCAGAAGTGTGCGAAGGTCTCCTGTTAAATCCGCCCATAGACTGCTTCGTTTTCGCGTCCGACTGATAGCCGCCGGTCCGTCTACCCCTTCCGACGGCCGATTCATGGCTATTCGGGCCGTCGCACTCTTCCACAGGTAGACACGTTTCTACCATCGCCTCCAGGCAATTCACGAACAATTCGGCGCTTTCGGGCGTACAACTGGACTGCAATATTATATATGATATATATTCCGGTCGGTGTATCAGGGAGACGAGACCGATTTCTTCAATCCAGGGTTGAGTGAATTTTTACTCTTAAGTTAAGTTAAAGTTAATAGCCTATAAAATTAACTTAATTAGATTAGAAGTTACGTAAGCAACAACTGATTTAATTAGTAGTTAAAATCAAATTAACTTATTAAAATTAAAAGTCAATTATGCAAAATCAGATGTGTGCATATGTATATGTTTTCTGCGTAAGTAAAATCTTTTCGTTTGTAGATTAAACCGATGCGAAATAATGACGAAGTAGCATATTATAAGAAAATATCGACTGTTTTGTGCTGTTCCAAAAAAGGCGCTCAAAGAGAGACGAAAAATGATTCTGTTAACATTATTTTTTTACTTTTCTTATTCTTATTATAAGCAACTCGGACGTAATGATTTTAATATATTGAAGAATTATTATATAACTTATAGAAAAAAAATTTAACAAGTTAAAATCCATGCGTTTTAAGTGGATCAGTTTAAGTTAAAAGTTAACTCATTCAAAATTAACGAAGTTAAAAGTTATTCACTGTTTGGCTGATTAACTAGTTATTACCCAACCCTGCTTAAATCTAAGAGCCTAATTCAGGGTCGAAACCGCTAGGAAACTATTGTACGGCTAATTCCGACATTTACGTTCGTGTACGGCCCGGCAAACCTCCAGAGACCGCGGAAGCCACAGCTCTGTAAGTAATGCAGTTGCTGCTGGCTCGTGTCCTCGCAGGCTATCATGTTCTGTATGATGACCTGAACCGCGTTCAGTATCGCTTGGTCGTGGTAAGACGACAGCACGCTGTTGATCTTCGCGTCGAGCAAGTTGTGCCTGCGAGGAAAACGGCGTGAGGATAGACAGAACTCTGAACGTGTATCCTCGGATGCGGCTTGGGCATCCAACAGCGAGCGAGCGAATTGGATCCATGCGTTCGACACGTCCCGAATAGAAACTTACACGACTGGGAAAACTTTCCGGAAAACTATAGTCGCTTCCGCCAGATACTCGTAAAGAATCCGCATCTCGTTCTCGTCGGTGGAGTACTTTACCAGAGTGGCTAACACGGTAAGAACGAGGGTCTGCGTCGCGAGGTCGGTCAACACCTCTGGATCGAGCAAGACGTTGTTCTCGTTGCTCTTCAGGCTCACTCCGTTGCTACGGGCCTAAAACGACGAGAAAAATGCCGATATGTTAATCCTAGCAATTGATATGTTAGTCGTTACTTGCACCGGGGGAATGACATTGAGGAATCGAATTGTTGGACAACGACAATACCTGTGGTTCTGCGTCGTTCGCTGGCTTGACTTCCTTCGCGCTCGGCACGCTTCTGGAACGCTGAAATCAAATCCAACGAGATTCGCCAGTGACGAATTGTTGCGCAGTGTCGATGATCGAGTTAATTACGCGATGCGTCACGTTTCAGAAGAAACCAATCCACGAGTAATTATAATTACAGTAAAATATATATCGTAATGTATTAATAAATTATTAAATTAATAAGAAATATATATTGTTAAGAGATATGTATTGATAATAATCAAATACATGTTTACAATGGTAATTTATATTATGTGTATTTATAATAATATATTACTGTATATATTGTACAATGTATACCTGTGCGGAATGCTGTTTTTGCTTCCTCGCTTGAGCGAGCGCCGATTGGTCCAACAAGTCCCAAGTTTTCTGCCTCCTACTCGTGAGATTAGGCGCACCTGTGATATCCTGCGGGATGATTTCATGAGGATCTCATGTGTATCGTGTTACAAACAACACGAGCGAGAGAAATACTCACCGTATTGCGCAAGCTGTCGAGAATCTCCGCGCTACCCGATGATTCGTGCGAGCGATTGTGATCGGATGTGAACGAGTGCCGGATGTGACACCTGGTACGAACTTCCTCCGACACGGACACTAACGCTATGGCAGAACAAGACGCGCTTGAAATTTAAAAGTCTGAGATTTCCTCACGTAATTCATATAAATTATGATACATTATACTCTGATTTTCTATTCAATATTATCGCAAAAATAGTTCCGGAGAGCTTGACTAACATACAAACCGCCGTATTATTTTTCGCTTCCTGCTAGGTCATTTTTATACCACCGACTACAGGTGTAGCGGTTCAATGATTTTCCACTAAAATGTAATCAATAGAATAATAGGAATCTAATTAAGATAAATTTAAATAGATGAAAACTAAAACAAACTTAAATGCATTAAATTGGACCATATGATTATTGCTTTCAATATTGAATGTCCTATCAGTCTCAGGCTGGCAAATGTACCGGCTAAGTACGGAACGCTGACGGGCGTGACTTCGAATTTGTCCCTTTTCGAAGGCTTGGCCACGATCGCTAGCAACATGGTCAATACTCTGGAAGTCCTGGTGACCGTGGTGGGGTGCCTGTAGCCTTTCAATAGATGACCGACCAAAGCAAAATGGAAGTTCGATTTGAACGACAGGCCTACGGAATGATCCAGCTGTTTAAAATGCCATTCTAAAGGCTCACGCGTCGACATCATCACGTGCTCCAACGTCTGGAAAAAACAGCGAGTCGTCTCACACATGTGCGAGTGTATGTATATAGAATCTAGTTGAGACGCGAGAAAGAAACGGAAATGGCGGACCTTGGTGTCGAAAGTACCCTGGGAGTCGAGCGTATGTAAGTTCTGCTCGAGAAGCCCTAGGCCGGCCGCATATAACGACGGTTCGTCTAACTCGAGAACAGACGTGGCGATCCAAAATAAGTACCTGTGTATCGGCGATTCCTTCAAGGGAAACAGCAACGTCAAGATATTACAACATTGCACCAACATATAATAAAAGCAAAAATATTTTATCATACTCGGTTCTTCGCATTCAATGTTTTATATTAAATATGGGAGCTGTTTGAGCTGTCAAAAATAATGAGAAAAGCCTGTTTTGATGACAAACTTGGCACAAAGACGGCCTAAAAATAAAATCAGACTTCTTCAATTTATAAACATTGTGTAGTCGGAGTGATTGTGTATCTTTTGTCTTTAAAGGAGCAAGTTATTAAACATAATGTGTTATGACCGAGTTCTTTTTTAAAGGGCTCAAAGGACGCATCGAGTAGAAAAAAGCGAGAAGAGTGAGATTTATCTTAAAAATAGGAAAAATGAAGTGTTTCTAAATAAGTTAAGAGAAGTGAGAAACGTGAGTAGCTGCCATGCCCATCAAGGTAAAAGAGAAGTCGAAGCTCACCGGTCTAAGAAGGGGCTGCAATCGCGTCAGGCACATCACGATCGCCTCCAACAGAGTAATGTCGTTGAAGCTTTCAAGTGCCTTCACCAGTATCCTCAGTAACTGTTTCATATCCTGATCCGTAATGCTCTTGCTGATACAACCGAAGACGATGAGCGCTCTCGGCTGTAGAGCCGGGTTGAAGCAGAAGACGGAGTTCCTCGCGAGCACGGTCCACGTTTTCAGCCAATCGCACCTTGGGATGTCCCGCATGCAGGCCTCCATGATCTCCAGGAGAGCGTCGGTGATGACTTCCAAGCTGATCAAAGAGAGCCTCTCCTTGTCCTGCACGCCCGACACGTTCCGCTCGTTGCTGAGACCCTTCTCGTTCGAGTGTTTGCAGAGATCCTGCCTGCTGGAGCCCGGGTGCTTGTAGAAGGCCGTATCGGCGGCGGACTTGACCTCGCTGATGCCGAAGAGCAAGTGGTACTTCGGCAACGAGAACTCGTCGAGGCTCATACGCAGTATCCTGTACGTGTCCTCGGAGAAGGAAGGCGAGCTGCACGTGCACAGGGAGTGAATGGTGTTGATGACCAAGCCGTGGGTGCAGGCCCGCATGGTCAGGCTGCCGGAGCACACGAGGAACGTCACCGTATGGAAGAGATACGGCAGATGTTTCCCCACGTCCAGGCAGTTGTTGAATGACAACATCAGGAAGTACCTCGCCAGGATCGCAATGTCGCTCCACATGCTGTGCTGCTCCAGCAGCGGCGTCGGCGACGAACAAGTCTTCTCCATCATTCGGCAGAGTCTGCTGATCACCTTCTTCGCTACCAGCTGCACATTACCGGACGCCAAAGCGACCGCGGTGTCCGCCAGGATCTCCGCCCGGTGCGAGCCCAGACGGTGCTGCACGCTCCGGTGGATGAACGTGTCGAGGACGATGTCGATCAGCTCGGGCAGCCGGCCGATCGTGCCCCATATTTTCGCCTGTATGCTCGGATACATCTCGACCTCCTCGACGGTCAACGTGATCAGCTGGTCCAGGATCTCCGTCAGCTGTTTTTGCCGCCGGTCGCACTCGTCGTTGGACTTGTAGAAGCGCACGAGGTTGTTCAGCCACGGCGTGATGTACTCGAGGCACAGGTGCTTCAGCTCGATCGTCGACGCCTTGAAGCCCTGTACGTAGGGATATCGTGATACCATGAAAATATCGATATACTAATATTGAAACGGGCAATAATAATCTAATCTAGGGACGTCCCGATTCGCGCCGGTACTTTGAAATATCGGCACGCAAGTTGCACGGTCACACTCACTTTCACGAAGCAAAAATACACGATATCTTGAAGAACGTCTGAGCGAAGAATTAAAAAGAAAGATATCGAAAATATATCGAGACAAAGTAGCACCGGTATGGATATGAATATCGAGAGGAAGTATCGATAACTAAAAAAAAACCCCGGTATTGAAAGAAAAGTGTCAAGAGATTACATCAATAGTATCACCACATTCCTACCTGTATGCACTCGGTGAGGAATTCGAGGGTGAGATGCGGGTCGTTCGCCGCCAGCGTCTCGCTGAGGTGCTTGATGAAGATCGTGTTGTTCGACGGTATGCAGAGACCGGAGGTCTCCAACAGCTGGCCCTCGATCTTCAGGTCGAACGCCGCCGTGAGCGCGCACAGGTGGTTGTACGCGGCGGTGCGGAGGTTCGGGTCCGGACTGCCGAGATTCAGCAAGGCCATGTTCAGCAGGGTGCCGGGCACGTCCTTGGGCCGGATCTTCGAGTGGACGGACATCGAGTCCGACTGCGAGAGCACCCAGCGATTCTTGATGTGATTTATGGCCTGCACGATGCTCTCGCAGTCGTTGTGGGTGAACGCCAGCAGCCCGGCCTCGTTGGAGATGGTCAGCGTGAACTGGCTCTCGTCCATCGGACAAACCGCCTCGATCTCCGACGCGTAATAGACGTCGTTCAAGGCGACGTACTGCCACAACACCTTGGTCTTGTCCATGTGGGTGATCTGCAAGGCCGTCGATCCGATCTTCACGGACACCCTGATCTCCTTGTTGGACAGTTTCAGCATACTGGCGAAGACCTTCATGTCCTCGTCGAGGGATAACGTGGCTCCGGGCAGTTTCTGCTGCTCGACGTCGATCACGTCGTTGAGCTTGCCTGGACCGTCCACGAAGACCACCTTTCGATTGCCCTTGAAGGGCGCCAAGATCCTGTCGTTACACTTGGCGTATTCGCGCAGCCAGCTGTTGCAATTATAAATGTAGGCCGCGTGGATATTCTCGTAGGCCGCCTGCGGCAGCATGTAGAACCACTTTTGCAGGAATTCCGTCCGGAAGCGATTGTCCGAGTTCGTGTGAGTGAAGTCGAATACCACGTCGTACGGGGAGTGGTAGAAGGGCTTCAGAGTTAGGACCACGTGATACATCAAACAGTCGAAATTCGTCTCGCCGAACCTGAAGGCCGAAATTCCTTCTCAATCACATCCAACAAGGATATAAATATGTAATACGCGGCATATATTGAAAAAGAATCTCCACAAACGTTAAACTCTCCATTCGTAATGGAGACCTCTTTTCCTGCCGCTATATATTACAATAAGCTTATTTTCACACACATACTTGTATCGTCGTGCAATGTAATAAAATACTGGGTAGCCTTGCTTGCTGGTGCCCGCTTGGTAAAAGATGTTCAGACTCTGGATGCTCTTGAAATCTTCCGTCTCGTGCACATTCAGCTTCGACATGACCTCTTCGAAATACGTCGACGACATGTCGCTGCTTATCTGCTGCCACCGTACTATCGTTCGAACGTAGGAGGACGAGAAGAGCGAACTGAAAGAAAATCGGAAAAAAATATATAATTAGACTGAGATTCATATCAGCGATTTGTCTCAATATTTTGTGTTGAGTCGATATTTGAGTATTGTGTAAGCGTTAAAATAACACATTTTCTACTTCAGTGTCGATTATAACATGGACGTTATTATGATAATTTTGCGTTCATTTTTTACATAACATTGGTGTTGCTTTTCCATATATCCACTCTGTGTTAATACAAAAATTGGTGTGGACCGTTCGGGACATGTGAAATGTGTCAAATTTAACATAAAATTGTTTATTATGTACTTCGAACTCGATAACTCACTGAGAATCTACTGGTTTATGCTCGGGCGGGCCGAGATACGCTAGCAACGTGGCCAATTTGTCGAAGGGTCTCCTCCCCACGGCTTTGTGATCGCGTATGCTGCTGAGATAGTCCCCCATTCTCTCCTGATGATTCCACAGCAGCCTGTGCAAGGCCAGGACGTTGGCGTCTGAGACGAACGACATGGAGTGATGGGTCTGACCGAGAGTCTCGCAGTCCGACGTGATCTGTATGACGAATCGTTGGCCGATCTCGAAGTGCGCTCGCAGGAAGTCGTTGAAGGGCAGCATGTGCTGCTCCTTGCTGAACTCCACGTTATTGGCGATGTTCTGCAATATCTTCGACATGAGCATGAGGCCTCGCTTCACCGAAGGCGGTACCGGCTTATTCACGATACCCATCTCTTGAGGCGAGACGATGGCGGGGTTGATGAAACGCAGGAATATCATCGTTCCTACGGCCACGATGTTGTTCTGCGGGTGTTGCGGGAATCTCTTGCTCAGTACTTGGTACAGGCAGTGACACATCGAACGTAGCTGCGGGGGAAACCTGGAATCGAGATGTAAAAAGGTAATCATTTTAATTGAAAAAGGTAGTGACTCTTAATTTTGTTCCTGCTCCTCTTTTTCTTTTTATTAATAATCTTAGTAATCTTAATAATCTACTTTCATTGTGTAAAAGTATTTTTATATATAATTCTATACAGCCACATTACGACGTAAGCTTTGTGAAAAGAAGTCAGTATCTTGCCGGCAAAGTCTTCAAGTATGGCACCCCTTAAAAGAGGGACACATTTCCCGCTAACAAATAAATCAATACTCGATGCTCGCGTGTTTTCTTGAACGACTTCGTCGAATTGAAAGAAAACGGATGGCGACTCACCTATCCGCCGACGATACTATGCCGTCGAACACCTTCTGCGTCAGTGCGATCAAGTTGCGACCGTTTTGCTGGATATTCTCATTCGGGTCAATTCTCGCGCCATCTATCTCGAAACTGATCGTAGGCTCGTCCATCCAAGGTTTAATGAGAGGCTCGAGCAAGTTTTGCAAATAGCTGGAACCGTAGATCTTAAAGCAGAAGGCCATGATCTTGCTGGCCAGAGTGTTGCCGCGAAAGAGAGTCTGTATGCAGTCGGTCAGCTCGACCTCTCGGTAAAACATATTCCACAGCAGAGGCGACAGCAAGTGCTTCGCTTCGAAAAGCATCACGAATACGCGCGCCAGCTCATCCATCTGATTCGTCGTCACTACGTTAGCCAAGGCCATGGCGATGGGCAATTCGCCCTTGTCGCTGATCATCGTCACCAGCTGAACTAATTGCTCGAATCTGTCCGCCAGGACGGTCTCGGCAAGAGTGTCGAATTGTGTCCCTTGTTGAAGAATCTTAGTCAGCACTTCCATAAACGCTGCTCTCGTTTGGAGATCCGGATTATAGCCTAAACCTGTAAGAAATTGAAGATCAGGCATGTTAGTTGTGAACAAACGCAACGCATTCGTATCCAATGAAAGACTTGATTTTGGGAGAATTCATTTCTCTCGGGAGAATTCTTAGAAGACACGTTCTCCTATTGAATACCGGATGCGCTCTGACGCTCGTCGATGCAAAGATGTAGCAACTATTTCCCCTCCCCCAACGGTACCTTGAATGTACCACCATTTTGGATAGGACAAAGTTAACAACACGAATGAGTATCGGACACTCTGCCGTACTTATCGAATGCCGTAGACCACTGTCTATATTCGCGCTGAGAAGATTGCTCATGGCTTGAATGGTGGTGTCGCGCAACGTGGCTAGCTTGCTGTTCGGTAAAGCGGGCGTTTGCCGGGAGACGACGTCCTTCTCCTCCGACGATTCCTTGCAGTCGTTCATCAGATTCATGAAGAGCGTGAAGTACTTCAAGAACAGTTCGGACTTCGCCTCCATCAGGTCGCAACGATCAGACTCCTCGGGCTGAAGGGGAAGTCCGTGCAATAACGCGGCCACTGCCTCCATGCAAGCTTGATCCAGGTCCCTGCGTGCAATTCGAGCGAGATTTGAGGACGGACATTCGAAACAATCGCCTTCAAACCGTCTTCATTTACCTGGCGTAAGCCGTGATATCGCTGCCGGTGATGTGGTTCGCGCACAGCACCCACTCGGTCAGGTACTCGACCAGTTTGTTCCGAAATTTCAATTCCTGCCTAAAGGCCAGGTCGTCCCGCCTCTTCATCATCACTTCCACCAGCTGGCACAGTTTCGTCTTGATGCAGATCGAATTCACCGACATGTCCAAATGCCTGACGTATCTAACGATCACCAATGTCATGCCCTCGATGCTGGTCATACCGAGGTACTCCGAATGCTGATCCGTCTTGGAGTCCAGGACGTTTCTCATTATAAATATGGTGTGCTCGATGAACTGGGTGTTTAAGTCCTGCAGTATCACCGGTCCCTGCTGGTCGAAGAACTTGTCGACGATGCTCTTGATCTGATCGAACAGTATCGGGTACAAGGCCGGGCTCAGCTCGTGCGCGATCAGCTCCTTCACGTGCTTCTGTATCGAAGTGCCGAGTTTCTCGTTGTTGCAGATCAACAGTCGCAGCAGGTTCAGCACAAACTGCGTCACCGGGCAGTACTGCACCTCCTGGCTGGGATTCGTTAAGCCGGACGACGAGCCGAGCTCCTGCTGCTTCGTCGAGCTCTTCTTAGGCTCAGGGTTCGAGAACGACATACCGAAGGGCGGTGTACTCGACGAGGGACGTTGCAGGCACACCCCGCCTAAGGCGCACAGGAACCCTGTCATGTTGGCCCACTCGTTGAGCTGATCCTCCACCTCGTGTTCCGAGTTCTGATGGGCCGCTCTACGTTTCGCGGTACTGCGATAATCACCTTGACCATCTTCCGTCTTGGTCTTAGGATAATTGGACAATTGTCGCAAGGCAATCTCCCAATTCCTCACGGTCTCCTCCCAAGCCTAAGCATCGATGTAAGATTCTCTTCATTTTCTCTGCCGGTTAGATGTAAAGCGAAGAAAAACGTTTGTATGGAAAATTGATGTACGTACAGGGTACACGCCGTTCACGCAATGTTCTATCTTTCTCAGTAAGGATAAGATTTTCTTTTGCAATGCGCCTTGACCCAAAATGTAGACATCAAGCTGTACCGTCGTACCTATGTAACAATGGACTTATCAAAGAAATGCCACAGAAAGAACATATATTGCGTATAAGAATAACTGAAAAGACTAACGACGAGTTCTTACCTTGATTATGTTCCTGATAACATAGCTTGCTTTCCCCGCGGGCTGTTACGATAACAAGGTCTTTAATACTGTACTGCACAGTCGAATAAGAGTTTTAATAATTAAGGTAGAAAAGTGGATCTCTTTGCGTTCGCAGGTCAATCTTGAAACTCGACAGAATATCTTCCGTCCGAGAATCGTTGTCGTTACAGTTTTAAAGGCTCGGGAAAAATCTTCTCTTTCCGTTTTTCCCGCGGAAAATTGAAAGAAACGGTTTCTTTTTCTAGGTTTTAAATTATCGGAGAGGCACAAATCTTTCATATATAATTATATATGGTCTTTTTTCTTATATAAAAATATCGTGAAATAGGCTTGATACTTGTAAAATCTCGAGGGGATATAAAATACGGAGAAATCGAACACTTACCAGTGCTCAACATGTTCGAGGCTTGCGCTAATTCCAAGTACAAATGATAATTTGGGAGGAGACAGGTCACCGCCATCTCGTCGCTGCCACAACGAATGTCGGCTTCCTCGCACAACAGCGCGAAGCACGACATGGACATCAAGACGGCCTCTATGTCTGTACTCCACAAGTACATCAAGAAAACGACCTGTGTGTCAGATATGTATTACAAATGACTTTCACGAACTTTCATCATTTATGATTTCTGTAAGAAAATTGACGGACAATCGGCTACATCGTCGGGCACAGACCTCGAGTTTAATGTGCGCCTGCTTGCAAATCGCGATCTCGCTGCCCACGTTCGCGTAATCCTTGTACTGAGAGAGAAAGGCGTTCCTGCGGATCAATATCTCGTGCAGCCACTTGAGTATGGCCGTGTAGTTAAAGATCTGATGTTGAATCAACTTCTGCGAGATCGAGAAGAGGACCTGCGAGCTGACGTCCCAATAAGTGTTCATCGGCGCTTCAGGATTCCACGCTTTGATCATGTTCGGGTGATGCAACACTAATAAAGCCTCCATCGCCTCGTCGGCGATGTCCGGCATCGAGGTCTGGTGGATCAGCGAGACCAGCCCATTGATCAGCTCTAAAGTGGAATTTTGCATGTCTTGACCATGAGGCTTGCCGGAATTCTGCAAAGCGGCGAATTAATACACGTCCTATACGTCTGTATAGTCCCAAGTAAATCGGGTGTATGCAAGTAGCAAGTTGTCGCAATAATCACGATACTTTCCGTTGAGATCTTGCTGCTGGCATCTTATTCGGGATTAGCCAGGATTGGAAGGGTCACCTTTTGAAAGTAACTCGTTACCGTCACTGTCATTGTGCAAAGTAACAGTTCAGTAAAGTAAAAAATAATGATAAGAGTAACGATTGAATTCGTCACCGTTATCAAAATGCAACTGCGCCATTATTGTCGTTAACAACGAAAGAAAATGAAGAAATAACGCCATTACTAAATTGTTAGATTATCGTTAAATGCGTAATGCTGTTATCGTGTAAAGTAACAGTTAAGTAAAATGAAAACTAATGACAGACGGTTACGATAAGGAAATTAGGTATAATTGCGTCACCGTGATCGTTAATAACGAAAAAAATTAATAAACAACGCCAAGAACTTGTTATTGAAAGAAATGTTTAATTTAATTGAGGAAAAAATCGAAAAGACCCTTCTCAAATGAAACTCGCAACGTCTAAACATTGTGAGTAACGCGTTACTTCCAACCCTGGAAATGATCCTACGGCTACTAGCGAGAGTAACATACGTGCAACATCAACATGGGGTCCGCGTGAATGAGCCGCACCATCCCCAGCAGCAGGTTCTTCGAGTTGGCGATGTCCTCCTTGCTCTTGAGCAAGTTGAATGTGTGTATCATGCGCAACGGCGCGTACCATATGTAATTCTGCGTGACCTTGTTGAGCGTGTCGGTGAACATGTTGCGGAGCTTCGTGCTGTGCGGGTACAGAAGATCGATCTGCGGCCACCACGACAGTCTCGGCTGCGTGATGATTCTGAAACGCGTGCATACCAGACATACCGATGAGAACGCCGGCCGGCGAGCCTGGGGGGGAGGGCGCGACCCTTGAGAAGAAAATATTCGGCACTTGCTTGTACAACGAGCTGACTAGGACGAGCTGATACGTCGAGGGGTAGTTGACGTTCAGGCAGACCTTCAGGACCTCGCTGTTGTGCGGATTGATGCGGAAGCAGCTGATAAAGCAGTCGATTATCAGATCGACGTCCTGCGCGGTGTAGTTCTGGCCGCGCGAGAACGGCTTCGAGGTGCTGAAGAGGAGCGACATCAGGTCGGCCATCAGCTGCTGCACCAGGATCAAGACGACGTTGTTGCTCTGCCGATTGCTGATGTACGTCGCCGCTTTCGTAAGCTTGACGCACGTGACCGCCGCCGCCTCGGTCAGCTGCCGGCTGGACGAGCTGCCGTACATGCCCAGGCCGCGCTTCACGTTGTCGATGAAGTGTTTCTTCTTCGTGTGCCGCGGCGAGCCGGCCGGGCCCTTGTCGGACCTCACGATCTCCTCCAGCACCTTGGGCGACAGCACCAACAGCATCATCTGCAACGGCCACACCACCATCGCCGCCCGGCTCTTCTTGTTGTCGACGAAGCCGTCGAGCACGTGGAACAGTTCCTCGCACGCTTTCCCCAGTTCCTCGTTGGGCTGCTTCTGCACTTCGGCGAACTCGTTCGGATAGGTGTCCATCCAATTCCAGATCGCCTTCTCCAGGGAATTCATGAGCACTAGGTGCGCCGATTTCTTCAGTGAGCGGACTTTCTGTATCGTCTCTGCAGCGACACACAGAGCGAACGCGTAATGCGTGAACGATGACAATGAGGTTTAATTAATGCAATTATAACGCAATCGCGCCACATTTAATATCCACCGCCTACCATTCAACAGCCTGGTCAGTCTATAAACGTCAACATTAATATGCTGCATTATTTCGATGTCGCTGCAGTCCGGATTCTCGTCGCCCCCGCTGTTGGACAGCTCCTGCAGCCGGGCCGATATCCGGTTGAAGACCGCGTTGAAGAAGTTCAAGCTCAGGGCGAACAGCACCTTGCTCGCCAGGTCTTTTATCATTTTCGTCTGCGGACTGTCGTGCGGTATGCCTGCGGGAAATCAAAGTAACTTCACCCGCGGAAAGAACAATTCCGTCTTGGTGTAACTGAATTTTCCGTTGCCTGGGAATCAGAACGCGATTGTGGCATGGAACGAGCAAACGAATGTTTGATTCAACAGGATTGTTTGGTTTCTCAAACAATCAATATCTCTCTTTCAGATAACATATTTCTTTTGCATTTTCATCCAAACATTACAATGGTTGTTACAGGGAAGAAATTATTTGAAAGAAATAGAAAGAATTATGTTAGAAAGATATTAAGGAATACTTCTCTTTGTTGCAGTGGGGAGCAATTTTATTTAATATAAAATATATTTCTTATTAAAAACGAAATATTATATATTTTTTTAATAATACTGCTTTTCTTCGATCAAACAACGTTTTCATTCAAACGAAATGATATATGATACTAAATTATACTGTTTATTAAACAAAACCGAGTCAAACACGTAGACTAAATCCAGAAAAATCTTTTTCTCTGTATAGTCGATGTTTACTGAGAGAGATATATCATTTTTTATCATCGAGTTTTCTCATTTCCTGCCATCGAGTTTTCATCTGGCTCCTCAGTGGCAGGGACTCGAGTTTTTTGTGTGTGTGTTTAGAAACTCAGATCCGTGACTTCTCGGGTTCGATTCTTAAGATTCCATCCCGCATCCCGAGGGTTACAATGCAACCATTCTCAGGTATAATTTCGACTCCTGTGTGTTAGACTCACTTATGAACTGGCAGATCTCCCTGAGCAGCAATTTCACGTTCATGGCCTCGTCGAATTTCGTTGTATCCTTCGGCTGGTTCGCTAGGCACTTCTCCAATGTGTCCAGGACGATAATGACGGACTCTTGTCGATCCTGGTCCATATTCTGAAAGGGCCTTTGGCTGCCGGTGTTCGGTGTCGTTGCTCGGTGTTCCGTGTCGTTGACGCGTTGCAGCATCTTCATGAGGCCGGATATCACGAGGGAGAAGCGGTACTGGGAGATCTCGATCAGGCATTTCTTGTTCCTCATCTCGTTCACGCGGGACTGAGGGCTTCGAGGACCGGAACGACACGGCAGCTGCATTCAAAGGAGACATATCGTTAGAATACTTGACCAGATAAAAGAGAAGATTCCCCGAATGAGTGATTATATGGCTCCTTAATTTAAATTAAATAATATAAGAGAAAAGGACGACAAGAGAGCCAGTTGCAGATTTAATTTGCATGTATTTATAAGTATATTATAAAATCATGCAAATGCAATTTGTCATTGGCTCTTATATATATCGTCCTTTTTCTTATAATATACTGAAAAGAAAATATCTAAAAAAATATTTATTCGAGAGAAAAAATACCTAAAAAATAAAAAATACTTATGCAGCGAATATTAGTAACATATATTTCCTTATATACTAATATGTATATTACTACACTAAGAAAAAATTGTTTCTAAATGAAAAATTCTAAATTTTCTTAAATCTGTTTTTTCTTAAAGCTTTTCATGCGAAGGCAATTGTTTGTGTTTAGAAACTCCGTTCATTCTTTATTTAAATAAAAGAATTTAGATTGACACGAATATATATTACGAATATATGTTACGAATATATGTTTTTAGACATTTTTTTCTCTCAAAGTAGTGAAAAGATACTTTATATAAAAAGAACGCAATGTAAAATATACAATACTACATAAATACTTTTATCAGTTATGAGAAAAATTTATTATGAAAGTCGTAAAATACAATTCAACGAACAACTTCCACAAACGTCAAATCTCGTTCTTTGATCATTAAAATGCCAATTGGTCAATGTATGTACATAATACAGTAAATGTCGACATATTTTGCGACTTCCACAATCGAAGGAAGGGACATTGACCTGTTCCTTGCTAGGAACTTAATCTTCTTCGATGGATAGCCGAAGGGATAGTAATTATCGCGTTTTCGGGATAAAAAGAGGCGTGCCGTGTAAAGGAGCCGCGTTAAAGCTGAGGTACACGCGCGTCCAAATAACAGCGGCGACAAATTGTCTCGACATCGGGAAACGTCAATTTATACGCTCGTGCCGCGCAATCGATTACGGTTTTGTTCCCTTTTCTTCGGCTCGTATCAGGCAGCGCGGCAAGCTGTGCGTAAAGGAATGCAATTTTCATTCATGTACACCCCCGCCACGTAGCGTCATTGTGAAAACGAAACTGGGAATTTGGCAAGGGCGTAACGGATTCTCTACCTTCCGCTTTACGCGCTCTGCGAAACGGGGCATTTTTCCAATTCTTTCAGATCCAGCTTGTACAAAGAATACAAAACGTTTAGGAACCTTCTTCTTTCTTTCTTTTCATTAAGACGAGTGAAAAAGTAAATTCGATCACTGTGAAATCTATTCTAATCTCTCCGAAATTGATCGAGAGAGAGAGAGAGAGAGAGAGAGAGGGAGAAAGGACACATATCCCCTGATTAATTTCGCAAATATTGCAAACGCAAATTCCCGTTACGTTAGATAACGACGAATTACAAAGATAACTTCAAGTTCGTAATCAAAAGAGCAACATCGCCTCTAACTAACTACGATCGCCGACCGATCGTCGAAGTATTAATTACGAGAACCAGAACAGTATCGACACTTATGCTACGCACCGTCCCCTGACAAATACGCTACTGTACACCTTGATTGAACCGCTCTCACAGCGAGCTTGACTGGAAGCGGAGGGGGCGAAGGTCAAACCGCAGGGGAGGAACTAGGGGAGTAGAGGACATCCTCGCAAGAATGCATCTGTCCATGAATGAACCGATAAAGGAATACAATGTCGCGTTATCGAGCACGGTGATCCCTCGCGGTGTGTACTCCGCGCTTGTCAACTCCGACTTCAACACATGTGAATACGAACGTACAATTAAAAAGAAAAAAGAGACCAGTTCAAGCCAAGCTTGAAGCTTAAAACTTATTTTAGTTTCACTCGATGAATCGCGTTAGGAAACATCGAGGTGGACCGTCGCTCTCGATTTATCGAGCATCGTTCTTCGAGCAGAATTAACATAATTAAGGGTGTGTGCGTGTGTGTGTGTGTGAGCGGAGAGAGCTACAGGGTGTGTATTCTACGCTTTCGCCTTGTTCCTGTAGCGCCAATTCCGCCACGTGGAAACGGCCGTGGTTACGTTATTTAGGTAATATCCTCCCCGGGACGAGCTCTAGCCCGAGCCTGTTCCGGATCGGACTACACGTCGTAAAGATTTGGAACGATCGTAAAGGGAAATTTTATATCCTCAAATCGCCACAATCGCCACATTTCGCACGTTCTACGGGTTCACGCGGCTGATTCACCGGCTGGTCGGCACCACCGCGCTCTTCAGCACGAGCAACGTCCCCGCAGTCGTTGATCTATAAAGTCAGCATCCGCCCGGTCGCTCGCGACCCTGCCCCGCGGGCACAATGAGAGGAACTCGGAATTCGATACCGAAGGCGGGGAGAGGCCCGCGTTCGTCGAGAACGGAATGACGGGACCGGCAGGTCTCCGGGAATCAGGAAGACGCACGAGAAATTGGAGCGAACGAGCGAGCATCGGTGGGTTATTATGGATGTGACGTTGGGGGAGGAAGTGGTCGCACTGGAAGAGGGTGGCGAGAAGAGAAAGAGAGAAAGACGGAGCGAGAAAGGAAGAGAGAGAGAAAGACGGAGAAAGAGAGAAGGGGGAAGAAAGAAAGAGAGAAGCGAAGAAAGAGAAGGAGGAGAGCAGAGAGAGAGAAAGAACGAAGGAGGAAGATGCATGAGGCGGAAGGAGAGGGGGGCGAGCTCGACAACGAGGAGACGAGCGGTGAGGGAAGGGAGCAGGGCTCCTCCTCGGGGCTACTATCGCGCGTACCTGGTCCTCGAAGCGCGCGATCAGCGCGTTCGCCCATTCCCCCGGCTTTTGCGTGCCCATCTCCCGTCCCCGAGGCTCACTGACAGGGCAGTTTACCACGTACGACGACGAATCACCAGCCCGCTACGAGCCCGCGACCATACATCACCATTTACGAATGTCGACTGACGGACCGCCGCCGCCGCCGTCGCGGAGCCGCGAAGCGCACCCGATTGGGAGGTGCACTTGCGCGTTGCCGGTGGTGAAGTAGCAGATGTGGGTAGAGTGTGCCTGAATGCCTCAATGCCGACCGACCAATCGCGCGTGCGTGCTCAGGAGCGATGCGAGAGAGCTCGGGGGCCCCTCAATATGTTCTTCATGGGACCAAAAGGACGCTTCTCTCTCTCTCTCTCTCTCTCTCTTTCTCCTTTTCTCTCAATCTAGAATGAAGAAACAAGTAGGAAAAAATGGGAAAGGATGTTATTGAATTTTGGATCGCGCGAGATGAAAATTTCAACTGTAAATCCTTATCACGCGACTGTGATGACAATTTCAGTTCTATTCTTCTAATTTTCCGTGATAATTTTGTTTTATTTCGTTCAATCGATGTAGTAACAACGTATTTCCTACATCTCGTAATGTTTATTGCCACGAACGGGACTGTTGCGGGTGACAATTGGTCCTCGAATTTGTCGGGTAATGCTAGATATTCAACTGACCCAGTGAGAACCACTTGCGGAGGGTGGTGCTTCAGTTTCACTTCGGCCCTGGTTCACTCAAAGCTAGTATACGCTTGCCCCACCTTGCACCCACGTCATTCATAACTGTACTACGCGTCCTTGCATCCGGGGCAATCGCTTGTACGAAAATTCGATCAGGTTACTAGTATTGTTACGTGAACGTTCCTCAATGTGCCTCAACTCTGTTGGACAATGAATTGAAAAATTATCGTTTTTTGTCGAATTTGCGCGTGATACGGTTGTCTAAATAAAATGAATGTCGCGAAGCTATACACACCTGTCACACATATTTTGCGGATTATTTTGCGGAAAATTTAAATTTAAGGTATAACACGTGTGTTGAAATATCATACGTTATCAAAGTCAAGTTTGAGAAGCGAATATATGTATTTGCATTTCCAATATGAGAGCTGTTTGCTTCCACATTTCTTACTCGACCTAAGAAAGAGACACTAAGATTCAATTTGAACAGCCTGTTAACTTTTATATCTTATATCGAATTAAAATTAAACTTATATCCAATTAAAAGTCTTGTGACTATCAGATCTTCGCACACTCAAATCGGAGAATAAGAAATTAAATTACTTGAAATCCCGGCTGATTCGTAACACTACCAGCCCAGCCAAGTTGTTCTTTTCGCACATTGAAAAATCAAACGAAATATAAATATAATATCTAAAGTAGTAACAAGAAATTATACGCAAAAACGTGCGTATAAAATTTGCGCCACGAGTAACTTTACTTTCCTTTTCAACAATCGCTAATATATTAGATACACTCTATAAATTTTGAAAGTAACGTGGACTTTTACTCGAAACTTGTCTCAAGCGAGGTGTTTAGGTTTGACTTTAGAATCAGATGTTTATCAGTTGAATCGCGATTATAAATATAATATCACGAGTATCACATGATTCGACTCAGAAACTGAAATTCACCCTTAAATTCAAAGCCGAGTATCTCACGTGAGATAAGTTTCCAGTAACGACTTTTATATTTATTAATATAGATCTATGAGTTCCCCTCTAAGGTCGAAATGCGGCCGAGCGATAGCTCTCTTATTAATCGCAGCTGTTCTAAGTTTACGACGCGACGAACTAACTGGCTCTAGCCGGCGGAATAATCTTGACACACACGTTTTCGCTTCAAACGTTCGTTTCTGGACATTTATAATGTAGAGCTATCACAGTGGCAAAACCGGTTTGACACATCGTTTCCGCTCCTTTGAATAGTCAATAAATAACAAATTAATAATGCGTATGCTCGGAAAATCCTGCGATAGTCAGCATTGGGAAAGTTACTTTTAACGCGTCCCGTGCGGGACTAAATTCGCGTGACTTGTCATCCATGCCGTGTGGGCTGCACCGGTGGTGCCCCACGTTGTCCTATCATGATGACTGAATTATTTGCTCAAATAACATGGTTTCGTAATGACTACGTTTCTCGTTTTAAGCCCAGTATATATCAAACTGGACAGACAGTTGAGCGTGGGCCACCGGTTGCTCACGCGGCATGGAACGTGTTAAAGGTAACTGGTTACTTGCCATGCTCGTTACGCATTGGAAAAAAATCATCTCTTACTCAAAAAGTAACGATTCGTTACAATTCCCGTTAACTTTCTCGCTGAGTTTTGAGAAGACCTTTCGTTACGATTCGCCGCCGTCCATCCTACCCGAGAAGCACGAACTGGTTGGCTAACCGTTGCTCAATATTGGGCCGAACGTTGGACAAACGGTCGGCCGACCAATTTGCGTTGAATATGCACACGAAAATCTCACATGCACGAAGTAACGATTATGTTCGTTACCCAGAAAAAAATTGCAACTATTATACTACGAACGGAAAATTAATTGTTACCACAAGCCGCTACTGAAGAAATAAATATATAACGGTAACGGTCCCAGATAACATTAACGTCCTACGACGTCTTAAAGACGTCTTTTAGACATACATGTTGTTCAGGACGTTGCAAACGACGCGTTACTTCCTAATCCTGAGAAAAAAAATGCTTCAGCGAGTCCAGCTCGCCGTTCGACTGCAGAGGATTAAAATTAAGTAGTAGTTTTGCAGCCCCAGGATCTGTGTAATTCATTTGTTCGTTGAGCGCGGCTTGTGCATACATAAATTCGCCATCTACACATATGCGAAAGTAAACTGTTTAACCTATCGCACCAATTGACGAGCCCGACAGCATCGATTTATTCTCGCTTCTAAACGCGTGCGAACCTTACAAGTAGAATCACATAGACAAGAAAAAATGGCGCACTTTGTAACCGGTATCGTCGCGCATACAATAACACAAGATCCCTCGTCCATAAATACTGTATCGTTGCCGGCGTCGCGTCTCGCGCGATACACATTATCATCTATTCTTAACTAGAATGTCCTCTTCTAACGAGGAAATCACAGCATCGAAGATGTCCACGTCCCGTTGTCGGTGCTTTTCGATGGAGTGAACACTCTTCGGATCCAGGTCCGAGACTCGAACGCTGCTCAGAAAGCAGAGTTGCTCCGAGAGCTTGATCATATTCTCCACGGGCACTCTCCACGCGTTTCCTCTGCAAGAAAGAGAGAAATCCTAATTACTGGAAACCACGCGTACAATTACGAAGCGAGGTGTATTCGGTTATGGCGAAAGTAACGTGATGGGTTCGTCGCGCGCTTAACGATGCCTGCGCAACGTTTTCCGTTAATTACGTTAAATTATGTATAATCCGTGCGAATAATCCAAGTGTAAAAAGTGCAAAAAATGTATTCCGAGCGAAGGAAGATAATGAGTTACAAATAAATATCCTCGCTCACTGCGATGTTTCGTGTTCGGACAACTTCGTTACGCGACTTAGACAATGGATAGAACTGCATCAAGTAACTAGGATTTCGTGCGATTTTATCACGTTAATTCACATCTGCGCCTCTACATATTTTTACGCGACGTTGACCGTTCTCTCGCAACGATATCGCCAAGCCAAACGGGAAGGATCCATCTATCCAACAGTCGGTTATAGCCGGTAATTTGAATGGAATTTAGCGCAATTTTATCGTTACCACCAGCTGAGTCGACAGATGTGGAGCGGAACGCCCGAAGCTCCCGGAATTCATCAAGTTGACACTTGGAGCGCAAAAAGTTAATCTTAATGCAAATTTGTCCTTACTGTGATAAAATTTGAAGTCGGCCTCTCGGAGCTTAAAGGGAGACGGAATCGCAGGGTCTGCTTGCTTCGCGAGCAACGTACTTACGGATGCAATTCACGGAAGGTCATTAATATCGAACAATCTCTGACTGTGGCGAACAAAAGATAATTTTGCAATGCCAACAAGTGCTCGGCGGTGATCGATGCGTCCACCTTTCGCCGGTCACCCTCGTTGTCGGCTGTCTGATTATGCGCGTTCTCGTTCCTCTCACAAAATAACTGCTTCGAATCGAAGTTGCGCCTAATTCCTGTTTGCGATACGAAGCCGCCATTCACGTGCGTTTTGTCGCTGTTGGCGGATAAGATACGCTCCGAATCGGCAGCGCTGCGGTCTCCATCGTCGTATTTCGTCTGGATGGATCGTCTCTCAAAAAATCCCTGGAAATATATTCCTTTTACGGTCTGTGTTTTTTCGACGACCGCATTCCGAAACGGGAGACAAAAGGAATGAGAAAGATTCCCCCGGTGCATTCCGCCGTACAGAAATTGATTAAAAATAGAAACAGACAATAACGGATCGAACGATCGAATGCGATTTCTGCCAGATAAATTTTCCCCTTAATCTCATTTCTCAAAGGTGACGATAATTATCACCTCGGCCTGTACAATCGATGCAAAATACAAAAGGATCTCGTGAAAGCTTGACTTCACGAAAGGATTCCACCGGAGATCCACCCGAATGTAATTTAAAAAAATGCAATATTATACCACCTTATGTTTTTTGGACGAAGCGCAGGTGACGTCGGTGGAAATGTAGTTTTCTTGCAGGTTCGTCAAATTGGAGTATATCATGTCATCGCTCAGCAACGGCGCGAATTTCGAGTAGATGCTGTGGATGTAACTGGTACTCGTGTAGGACAACCGCTGAATGTTCCAGACCCGCTCCAGCACCGAGCCTCTCGGCAACACGTCGCCGTCGAAATTGCAGACCTGCAAGACGCAAAAAACAGAAGTGTCACTCGACCACATCGTATCACGAACGCCCACCATTTTTCTCCCCAATAAATATTAGATATTTGCGGCAGGTGTAGTCTACCTTTCCTGTGAGACGAAGGCACCTCTCGGCTCTCACGACCGCGCTCGGCTCGGCGCAGAATGTCGACATTTGATTCGCGGGTAGGGGAAGATGACGGACGGGACCTGTGGCGGCGAGCAGCGGCTCCAGCTGCTCTTGGGCGAGAGGCCGCATAAGGGCGGTACACACCAAATTGCAGAACTCGTCGACGCCAGCACGCCCGTTGCCACACGTCGCTGCATTGTGAAACCACTGGCTCAACACGTCCTCGAGATCGCCCGGCTGAGACTCGTGGTCGTAAACGACGAGGCCGTCCCTGAAAATCTTCAGGTTGTTCTGCGGTGATTTCAGCAGCTCCTCCACGGCGGCTCTCATGCGCGTGTCCACGCCGGAGAACAAGTCGAACGGGCAGTAATTGCTGCGAACTGAGACACTCTTTCTCCGCAACTGAAATTACACTTTTACGTTAACATCTCGTATTCAATTATCTTATTTATCTTATTAGAGAGAGGGGGAGAGAGAGGAAGAGAATCTTCTATACTGAGAGGAAAAATATGTAAAAAATATTTATTCAGTTTACGCAAGTAATAACATATTCACTTGTATCAATATATTTTAATATAAAAAAAAATGTTTTCAAATATAAAAGAAAATATAAATCTTCTTAAATCAGTAGCTTTTCGTGAAAATAATTGTTTATTCCATTTAAATAAAGGAATTTAGAGAATTGCGTAAATGTTTAAATAAAAGAATTTAAATTTAAGCACACTGAAAAAAGCTACTTGCTACCTTTTTTTTTTCCTTCAGTGCGCCACATTCAAGTAATATTTACTAATCTAAGTAAAATAAACTACTCTAATATTCCTTAGCAAATATTTATTTGAACGTAACAATTTTTATTTTCGGTGTAAATATATTATTAGTATCGAATCGAAATAAATATTTTTTTTCTCTTAACGTATGTATCTTAATATTTCTCTCTTTATCTTAATTTATTTAATATCTCTGCCCTAATTTATCTTATAATTTATCTTAGTAGTATCTTAGTACCGTTCTGTTATTGACAACATCGATTAAAAATCTTAAGATAATAAAGGGAAGAAAAGTTGATTGAGATACCTTGGCGTACTGGATGAGACAATACGGACATCTGAGGATCCGCTGCTCCGCCTGTTGTAAGTATCCCTGCTTCGGCTTTATCTCCACGCAGAACGACGAGCGGCCTCGAAAGACGGTCTCGTCGAATAGAAGACGCGAATCCAAAAACGTGTAATCCGGAAACTTCATGGCGTATAAGTCCGTGATCTCCTTGTGTCGGCGTTTCTCTGTAACAAACGAGTGACGTAAGATCGAGGACGATAAGCTGGAAGAAACTCCGCGCCACTTTCTTCAGCGTGTTCATTTTAAAAGACCGCCTTATTTTACATCCGCATTTCGTCTCTTATCATCTTAATTATGATAATCGCAGAACTCGGTGATATATACGATCGTTTTGAGAAAGCTTTCTCTGGTCGAAAGCGTTCGAATCGGCATGCACTGTAAAATCCATTTAATTGACTCAAACAAAATTTGATTAGGATATGTTCAAACAAATGTTTCGATTGTGAGAACCAACATTTGGTTCTTTGAACCAAAGGTTTAGTTCTCTGAAACCAGGTCTTATTCATTTTCGTTTCAGAGATTTAAATCTTTGGTTCAGAAAACTAAATTTTAGTTCTCACAGCTAAAACATTTGTTTCAGCATATTTTGACCAAATTTTGTTTGAGTTAACTAAATGGGGTTTTCAGGACCAATGTGTGTTTAGAATCTTTCAAAAAAAAAAAAAACATTATAAAAGACGGAATTTTCAAACTTTATGCGTTTCTAAAATATTTTGTATTCTTAAATATTTGTTTCTTAAATATTTTGAGAACAATCCGTCTCCCTTGTCCCCCTTAAGCCAAAAATCGCATAGAGGCTTTTTACGCACGGGCGATTAAGCGCTTTCGAAACTTGTGATATAACGTCGTTTATATCCGGCGAACGTTTCTCGCGGGGGCACACGAGTGACTAATGGAGTACATCGAATTTGGGAACCCCCCTTGGATAATATAACGTCGACGGGTAAGGGAGATAACGAGGCAACTTCTGTTTGACACGTTTAATTGTGGCGATATCTTACGAGACCGCGTGCGTTCGACGCGGGCAAATGCACAGAGGGAAAGTTCAACCGCATGCTCGTTAATTTGTGCTACTCCGATAAATAATCGTCCCGCAGTCATCGTCGTTTAGGCCGTTTAGCCTCGGCTGCTTCTTATCGTGAAGCCCAGCGTTCATCGTGTTTTTTCCACGATGTAAGTGCGAGCGACGATATTCTCGCCATTTCACGAAGTATCGCTGTAGTGGGCTGTAGAAACACCTTTCTACACAATGTAATCCTGCTGCTGTGCTATCTAAATTTCCTCGAGTGCGATTTCACTTGTCGAGTAAAGTAACAGCCGAGTCACTCAAATTTGAGAAACTCGCTACTCAATAAATTCCACATTCGGATTCGCTGAGAGTGAATATTTTCACTCGAGACTGAGAGGTGAGCCTGATGTGCTCCGTCGTCACAGGCACGAATTTACTTCAGTCGAATGAGACTTCACTCACGTACGGATTAAAAATCCATTCTAAGTTAATTAAGAATTCGCTCTTGTGATTTCGAATAACGGTATTTCCACTATCAATTCGCGTGGATCTTTGCTGAAATTTTGAGTGAGATTTCACTCCAGGAAATTTAGAGAATAATTTCGGAATTTTTCGGAGTAAAAGTCCATTTGAAAAGCGAACAGCAGAATCAGTCGAATTGGGGCGATTTATCGCGCATAAAAAATGAATTTCTCGCTCTGAATCGCTGAAGAATGAATCTAACATACTCCATCGTCGCAGGAACAAATTCATTTCGATTCAATTAAAATTATTAATTGAAATAATTCGAATTATTAATTCAAATCGATTTAACATTCACTCGTATATATCGCGAATCTTCCCTAATGCTGCAGTTCTAAGCGAATTTACGAAAGAATCTGACTTACAGTTTTACGTAAACTTCAATTCTGTACTGGCATCTGTATGCTCATCGTTACATGTTCATAGTTACGATACGTGACTAATTTCAGATATATGTAACCTGTCGTTTGAGAGTTGCGTGCATGGAAAAAGAGAACTCAGTTGCTGCAACGGAATAGAAACCAAATGATAACTCGGTGACGAGGAGTGAAAACTCGGCTGCAAGAAGTAATATCTCTGTTACCGCGGCTAAGAACATTCGCGCCGTGTGAACATTCAACTGCTTTGAAACTCAGATGAGACAACTAAATTTAGGAAATTTTCTCACTCGAGTTTTGAGTCAGATTTCACTGTAAGAAGAAATTTAAATACTACTTTGTGAAGAAGAAAGGTCTATATGCGTGTTTGTATGTGACGTTCTTTCGATTTTCAGTCAAAGATCTTATGATTCTCCGCGTTCACCTGTGAATTTCGTTCTTCAATCGCTGAAATGTCAGTGAATCGACACAGTCAACAAGTATACGTCATTCCGAAGTGTTTGCGAATTTCTATATCGCTCGCTGAGGATACACCTTCACTTTCGAAGTCGCAACGGTTAGTATTTCCGCCGCGACGGGCTTTCTTCTATTTCGAGATCACAAGTGCATCGCGCGAAAACGTTTCGCGCCCACGCGTTGTCTTTCGTACCGTAAGCCTGTAAGGAGACTACAAGGAGACTCGGCTTAGGAAAGTCGTGTTTTATGACTGTATTTACACTGTGCGCTCCCACGTACGCTAAGCTTCGGTAAAATCTTAACGCTTACTCGAAATATAAGATTATACTCTTTTAATTTTTATTTTTTAATTATAAATTTTTCTCCGTACTCTTTTCCGTTCCCGTAAAGCTCTTACACACAGAGAAAAGATTTCTTTGGATTTAATAATGTATCTTTAATTTAGACAAATTTGTCTCGTCACAAGCGGTAAATTATTTGAAGGAAGTAACATAATAATATTAAAGAATTTAATAGAACAGAAGAATATTAAAAAATATTAAAGAATTTCCTTTTGTTTCAATGGAACAATATTTAACATATAATGAAATACATTTTTTTTTTATTGAAAACGAAATATTATTTCCTCTAAATAATACCGTTTCTCCCATCAAATAACATGGTTTATTTTAGTGAAAGGACAACATTTTCATTTAAACAAAATGATATTTGATATTAAATTATGTCGTTTACATTAAACCCAAGTCAAGCAAACATGTATACTCGATTCAAAGAGGTCTTTTTCTCTGTGTAGAGGGCTTCGCCCTAGAGTGTCAATGAACGTACTTATTTATCTTATATATGTAACATTTATTTTAACGATATCTCAGTCTTTCTAAACGTTCACATCGTATCTGGATATTCGTTACGACTGTTGATTATTACAGCTAATCCGTCATTTTGATAACTTGACATCAAATGATATCATATCACATTATATCGTTCTACCCAGACACGATAAGAATGATTAGGAAGAACCAGCGAGCTTCGGTCTAGTAAATTTCAAGCCTTCGTCGAAGCTTAACAGCGACTGAGAGGGTTTTTCTGAACTGAAAACGATGCGCGCGTTTCATCGTCGATTTTTAGCGAAAATCGTCAATTTTATTCACTCGTTAGTTACCGCCTATTGTCCACTTATCGGAAGTTAACGAAGCGCTACCTCGCTGTCAAAAGTGCAGCCGATGGCACGAATTTCTCCTCGCGTGGGGAGCGTCGGCGGAACGGCGGAGGAGACGTTGTGCCGAAGGATAACACGCGGCAATTTCGCTAAATGCCGTGCGCGCGCGCGCGCGCTCTCAAATTTCGTGCACGGAGTTACGATTGATCACGCGACAGCCTTTCTTTTTTCTCCTCCAGCCGAGGGAAAGTTGCGTACTCGACTAAATACGGAGGAGCGTAACTTCTTCGAGGCTCTGCCTCTCGTTGCGAAATATGCCGTGTTATGTCGCGCGATGGCTTTAACGTTAAAACGCGCTTAAACGCGCGTCTCACTTCGAACTTTATTCGCCACGTATGATGATTGCGTGCGCTAACCGCGTGCAGGACAGCCTTAACATACAATATAACTGGGTCATTACGGATTTTCCAACCGTACGCGTTATTGATTTATTATTTATTGATTGCTCAAAGAAGCGCGCGGTTCGAACGCGCGTGTCAAATCAGTGATCCGTCACTCTGTCAATTCTACGATAATACGTTCGGAAACGAATGCACACGGTTATAAAATAACTAATAATCTAATTACAATGCGTGTTAAGGCTATTCTGCCGGCTCAAGTTAGTGGCAGATAGTCGCAACGCTTTTTTTTCTAGGGGAAAATGGGGTGAGACGACGAAGCAGGTAAGACGATTTGCTAATTTTTCTATACTAACAAGTAACGAGTTGGCGTTCAATTCACTAGAGATTTTTAATAACAATAAATAATCTATTGTGGTCGGACTTTAATCTGTCAACGACAATAGATGATATAAGAAGAAACGTATTTTGGATACATCCATATATAATTTTGTGATATTTTCTCATAAGGAATAACAGAATTATATTAAACGTTTTCACCTTCTCTTCAAAAAACTAATAGGAGAAGGGAGATAATTTTTTTTATAATTCTCAAGAAGATACATGTTTTTTGCTGCTGAATGAACGGGATATTGAAATTCATCGAAGTAAAAGGGTTGCGCAGCCTTTCTTCCATTGATTGTACAATGTTATTTCGGTTGAGAGCCAGACGGCCATACTTGACGCACGATCGTAATGCAGACCCAGATCTTCAAGTTTTATTGGTTAATTTTAACTCGTTATTCGAAGTAAGGTCTGACCGGCAAGTCTGGAAGGCAAGTGCATAAGGAGATCCTCGCTTGAATGGCAGTGGCCGTTGATGCGAAGTCGAGTCGCCTCCATCGCGGCACCATGTAAGTTTACGCGGTCTTTCTGTTTACACATTCCTCGTTTCAGTCTTGAAAATAAACGTCCGACACGGCCGTTCAGTCGCAAAAATATCCTGCTCGCCATGACGTGGGCCGATCTCTGAAAATAGGCGATATCGAGGACTACCCTCGAAGGCGGCGAGAGATGGTGGGCGATCAAAGGCCAAAAAAATGAAGACGAAGAAAAAGAAGAGCAAGAAGATCCACGAGGTCGCGACGAACCGCGGTTGCACTGAGAGGCGGTTGTCTCGCGACAATAATATCGAAAAGTTTTGTTTCGCACGACAGAAAAGAGAGAGTCGAGTAATTTAGATGAAACACATGGCAACGCATGTACT